CTTGAAACCTATTACCAAACCTAAAAAAAAGTTAAAGTAGCCTTAGCACCGCGTTTGCTCTAATTAAACAATCCCCATTTCCAATTTGAAAATATTGGCCATCTGATAATGAATGCAAATTGCACTTCCAAACCCCTTTCAAATGGTCATCAATGATTAATACTGTTTTTATAAACTTTTGCTTTTGAAACGCGGGCACAGAAATAGAAATTTATAGGTGTAGAAAACGGTTTTTACAAACTAAGAAAATTTTAATTTTGTGATTTTTAGTAAAAGGCAAAGTAACATCTCGACTTTAGCTTTAATCCTAGCCCAGAGGCCTAGAGCAAAGCCCTAGCCCAAAGCCCTAGCCCGAAGCCCTAGCCCAAAGCCCTAGCCCAGAGCCCTATTTTTACTAGCCGTTTCCTACTTTTAATTTAACATTGCCCAAGTGATGCTTAACCCTTGACCTACCTTACCCTTCTTTAAACCAAATTACGTTCAGTCTTAAGCTTACTCAAAAAGTTAATCAATGCTAGACTTTTCCTAGCCTTACCATATCCTTGTCTTGAATTTAGTGAGTTTAGCCTTAAGCGTACTCTAACAAATAGTACATCTTCCTGAAGACACAAAAGTCTCAAACACCACCATGCATTACATAACACAGTCCTACCTTTTACTTTGCTATTACATAAAAAATCTTGTCGCCAACGTTAGTTTATCTTCACTTTAAAAAGCGACAAAACTTTTTATGCTGCCCTTCATTCTAGATCACTTCGTCCAGACAAACCCTATAAAAACCCATATTTTACCTCAACGTTCTGTGACCAAAACCCTCGCCAATGATTATTACTCGAGTTTTAATTAACCGCGATTATTAAAAAGCAAAGCCCTATGAAAAGAAATGATATCTCGTGGAATTGTAAGCATACGAAAACAAAAATAGTTCGTTTTACTTTAACGTTAATACGATGGGAATTGTTTGTGGGTAACTATTATAACTACTGCAAAAACTTTATTTACGAGCCAAATTCAAATTAAAAATGCACTTTTTGGGAAAATTTTCATAAATTGAGATTTGGTTGCTAAAAATTTTTTGGCAAATTTTAAATTTTAAAAATTGAGCAAAATTTTGATTTTTTAAAGTAAAAAATTTAATTTTTGTTACCTTACTTCCCTACATTAACCTGCTCTATCCTATCCCAGTTCATCTCCGGCCGTACCTTACCATTCTACTAAAAAAAATCAAAAATCAGCCACATTATGTCATTTTTAATAAGATACTGCTTTAAAAACTTAAATTAAAACCATATTTTAAAAGACTTCCATATAATAAATTGTCAAAAAAATTCTTGTCGTTTTTCTCTATGAAAAACAAAGCTAATTGGCGACAAGACTTTTAAGACATTTTAATGACAAAACTAATCAATATAATGACATTTTAATACAATAACATGTCAATTACAAAACAAAACCATAATGGGAGCTCGTAATGTCATAGGTTATACCCCAAAGTCCATTAAAATTCAAAGATATGTAAAAGAGGAAACGTCAGCAGAGGGTCCCCCGAGGGCTCTTTTTTATCATTTTTTGACAAATACTCGCATAAAAACATGATATAGTAACAAATGACTATGTGCGGTGTAAATGCAAAAAAATTGTTTGTACTTTAAGCTAGCAGAATAGTACTATTGGTTTTAAAGTTTTTAAAAATTTTATGAAATTTTAAGTTTTAAAATTTAAAAAATCAAAAACTTGTTTTACTCTATCCTAACTGCCTTGCCTTGCCTTGCCTTGCCTTGCCTTGCCTTGCCTTGCCTTGCCTTGCCTTGCCTTGCCTTACCTTGCCTTACCTTACCTTGCCTTGCCTTGCCTTGCCTTGCCTTGCCTTGCCTTGCCTTGCCTTGCCTTGCCTTGCCTTGCCTTGCCTTGCCTTGCCTTGCCTTGCCTTGCCTTGCCTTGCCTTGCCTTGCCTTGCCTTGCCTTGCTTTGCCTTGCCTTGCCTTGCCTTGCCTTGCCTTGCCTTGCCTTGCCTTGCCTTGCCTTGCCTTGCTTTGCCTTGCCTTGCCTTGCCTTGCCTTGCCTTGCCTTGCCTTACTCTACTATCTTTTGTTATATCTTAACTTACTTTACCCTATCCTACTCCAACACCCTATCCAATTCTAACTTATCTCCCTCGCCCTCCCCACCTCTAAGTACTTGCCCAAAAATTCTTATATTATTGTACTGTAAGACCCTTCTAAAAATAACCAAGAACACAGAACCCCCAAAATCAAACGCTACTTTATCAGTACATCAAAGTAAGCTCCTGTGCGCGTAAAAAGTTTGCCAAGAGTATTATTAACTTTGAGTGTAATATCCGAGGTCAGTGAACTGGAAACGTTCTGTGAAAGAAACAATTTGCTTTTTCTTTTTACTCATTATGACATACGACGCAAGAAGCTGGACCGTAAATGACATTCTTTGCAAAATTTGCAAAAAATGAAGTTTGAAATTTAGGTTAAAATTTCAAGAAAAAGAAAAAAAACGCAAAAATTTTAAAAAATTCTTGAATTCACTATGTATTATTGAAGTGCTCGGCTTAACCTACGAATTAAAACAAGACCTTATTTGGTAATCTTCAAAGTACCCTACTCTACCCTACCCTACCCTACCCTACTCTACCCTACCCTACCCTACCTTACTCTATCCTACCTGCATTAACATTATACTACTTAACCATGAAGCACCCGTTGCTTTATTTTATATTTTAGCCTTCGTCAGTCATACCCTAGCCTCGACAGTTCTACACAAGTTTTGACTTATTCTGACCTGATGAAACATATACTTATCTATAGTAAGAATTTATCTTTTTTGCCCTAACTAAAAACCATCTTCTTTCCTCTAGAAAAATACCGTCAGGCTACGTCGTGGCACGGTTGTATTGTGACATAAACTTTATATGAAAATAAAAGCCTATGAAAAGTAAACAATATTACTAAAAAAGAAAAGTCATCGTTTATTTTTGTTTTTCGTATTTTCTTCAACTAGTCGCAATAACGCATAAAACACTGTATTTCTACGTTTTACTCTTCCCACTGGTAATTTATACCTCCCAACATTTTTGATCCTTCCCTCTTTGTCTCCCCTCAAAATTCTTTTAACGTTTCTCTATTCAAAAACCCTCCGTGCCCTTCCTGCTCATTTTTCTCTTTTCAAATTACCTCTCCCGAGCCATCTCCTCTCTCCAAGCTTTTTTACCCCACCCGAATTTTAAAAAAAATTTTTTTTTTGGAATATTTTTCTTTTACCCTCATCTTTCTAAACTCCCCCCTCCCCACCTCTAAAAGGTTTTTATTGGTTTGTTACACCTCACAAAGCTTTGTCATCTCTGCTGATCAAGACTCAAGCCCCCTACCACAACATCAAACATTAAAACATTAAAGATGTTTGACCATCCCAAACACTCAAAATACTGTGCCGCACATGATTAAAGGTGAGTACGAGATTGCGTTTCCACAAGCAGCGTACTCCTCGTTTCCAATAAGTCATCTCCGTCCCGAAATTCCATCCGTCACTTGGAGGGCTTCGTACTCGTCTTCGTGCCCGCGTTTTTCGCGTCTTCAACGCGATTCACCCCCTCCTCGAAAAAGGTTCGGGCCATTTAAACGGCCAAAAGGGTAAAAACGGAACGCCAGGAAGGGGGAGGGGGGAGAATCCCTCATTCTGACACATTTTCAGCACCAGAACAAAAAACAGCTCTGTTCGGGACATTTAGCTACAATTCCACTCACATTTATCAATTTTTGAAGAGCAATGGCTCCAAAACACTGTAATTTCATTTCTTCGGCCACATAAATTTAGGGCTTTTAATTTGGATTTTGCTGTGAAGTGGAAAAGGTTCACAGAGTATTTTAGATTTTTAGGTAACAAAAAGCTAAACGAGAAATTTTCTTTACATTTCTTGTCTTTTTGTTCCTTTTTGAAGTTGTGACTTATTTTACCATACTCTTATTTTTGTTTATCTACCCTACCCTACCCTACCCTACCCTACCCTACCCTACCCTACCCTACCCTACCCAACCCTACCCTACCCTACCCTACCCTACCCTACCCCTACCCTAACCTACCCTACCCTACCCTACCCTACCCTACCCTACCCTACCCTACCCTACCCTACCCAACCCTACCCTACCCTACCCTACCCTACCCTACCCTACCCTACCCAACCCTACCCTACCCTACCTTACCCTACCCTACCCCACCCTACTCTGCCTTGCCCTGCCCTATCTTACACTACCCATAGCTTTACCTTATAGTACACTTATCTACCCTACCCTACTTTACCTTACCGTACCCTATCTTAACCTACTCTAATTACAATTATGTACAAAACCTAAAATCCTCTTTTGACACGCCTAAAATAATCTGCCGCTAAATCTGAATTTCTGATAAAAAAAAAGTTTTGGTAAGCCTAATGTTGTGTGCACAATTAAATTTTAAAAAATTTAACAATTCAAATTTTTAAAAAATTCTAAGCTACAGGCGGAGGTTTGGTCCTCCTCCGCATTATTACACAAAAGAAAAAAAAATTTCGATCTTTATTATTATTATTATACCTTATTAACAATACAATCTTGTATTAAGATATTACAAAGCATAAAACATTTAAACATCAGGTTATTCAAATAATTCTGTGCCCCTTATAAAAATAAATTTTTGGAGTTATGAAGCCCAGAATTATTTGAACAACTTAATAATTTTAAAAATCTTTTTAAAATTGTATTTTATTACCTTATTATTAATATTATTATGACATGATAAAGCAACACAAAAGTCTTGTCGTTACTTGGCTATGTTTTGCAATTTAAAAAACGACAAGACTTTTGTGACCTACCAATATTAACATAAATTCTTCCTGAAACATAATTTCGCCTTAAAAACTATATAAATATAATACCATGAGATCATAATCATACAGTAACAATCAAAACCATACTGTAAAACTGAAAACCATAATCGTACAGTAACAGTCAGTAAAATTAAGTAACAGGTACAGTAGGTCCTTGGCAAGGGTCACTACTAATGCCATCACAGCTGGAACAACTAAAGGCATTGACTTGGAAGTAAGCTGATGAGGTACTGAACGGGAAACTACCATCAGTAGTGTAAGTGGTACCACTTGGACATGTAATAGTCACAGTCGCGTCACCACCAACACTTAGGTATTGTTGACATGCTGGAAAGTACAGTATAACTTACAGTATTGTTACTTTTTCATTTTTTTTTGAAATTTAAAAAGTTAAAATTTCAATTTTTACTTAAGCACCCTTACCTCCAGTACTATCACACCAAACAGCAATATTAACCGAATCGATGCTTGATGCTGATCCATCTATACTACAACAATCGTTCTGACTATTGCACATACAAGCCGTCGACCAATCATCACATTGAATGTAAGCCGCCTCTTGTGAGTTGGCAGCTGCATTATCCATGGAATCTTGTGTAGTCGGTTCAAAGAAGTAGCGAGTACCTGTCGAACATGACGTGCATTTGGCTACTGGTTGCTCGGTGAAGCCTAGAGAAGCATCAGCATCTATGTTAACATCGGAGTCAAAGGTGACGCCTAGCGTTCCTTCAGGGACTTCGCAGGCTAAACGTTTATTTATAGTGTTATATTAATATCAAATGAAAAAAAATAAATTTAAAATTATGTTGAAAGTCTAAAAAATTTAAATTTTAATCAATTTGATACCTAAAATACGAAAAATAAGTCAAAATTAGCGTTCGAAGCGCGAAAAATTATGAAAAATGTCATTTTTAACTAAAATTGTATCTGAAACATCAATGTAAAAACCTCAAGAAAGCAACAGTAATGCCAAATAACATACTGTCTTGATTTCCAGGAGGCAACGTCGTCGGTGGCAGCGTGGTCAAGTCAGGTGGTATCGTGAACCCAGCCGGTACGGTCGTCCTCAAACATCCATCAACCGTACCAATTGGAACCAAAACAAGAAAAAAGAATAACAATGCCATTTCAAATGGCTTCCCACTCACAGAATTCCATTTTTAAGGATTCCGGTGATTGTTTCAGATACCCGGATGACAGACGGGTTTCTGACGGTGCGAAACTTTTAAAGAACACCAAGTTTGTTTAGTGGCAGACTTGATAAAAAGTCGTAATTAATAGCCGTAGATGGGCGTTTGCCGAAAGCCGGAATCCCCTTTCATCGCCCACCAGCAAAATATTTTTTAACACATGCTTCGGTATTGTTTTAGATCGAAAAGAGATTAAGCTGTTGGAAAATGTTAAAAGTGAAACAAAATAAGCCGATTCTTCATATAGTAACATCGTAGTTTCAATAAATATTAAAAACAAGACTAAATGTAAAATATTAAAGGCCTTTTGTAAGCAATAACATCCTTTTACTGTAACATTATTAAAACGAATGTTTCAAACAAAAAAAAACTACCATGAATTATCCCTTTGGCTTATATGCTATCGCTCCCTTAAAAACATGGTTACTTTGGTAGTTGAGCTACGTCTTCCTATAATTTCTTCATGTTATAGTAGGTATTATTGCCCTTTTTGTGAAGTTTTATTTCTATTTTGCCCTCAGGCAACAAGTTAGCTTTTTTGGGTAGTTGAATACCACGCTATCGCTCCCTCAGAAACATGCACACTTTAATAGTTGAGCTTCGTTTTCCTATAGTTTCTTTATGTTATAGTAGGTATTATTGCCCTTTTTGTGAAGTTTTATTTCTATTTTGCCCTCAGGCAACAAGTTAGCTTTTTCGGGTAGTTAAGTACCATGCTATCGCTCCCTCAGAAACATGATTACTTTGGTAGTTGACCTACGTCTTCCTATAGTACACACATGTTAAAGTAGGTACTAAGGCCCTTTTTGTGATGTTTTATTTCTATTTTGCCCTCAGGCTATTACTTAGCTTTTTTGGGTAGTTGAGTACCATGCTATCGCTCCCTCAGAAACATCATTACTTTGGTAGTTAAGCTACGTCTTCCTTTAATTGTTTCACTCAAGCAAATAACATCTTGTTATTTTAGGTAACATAAATTTTATTTTAAGTGTTTTCATTGAAAAATACTACCTTACCTCACCCTTTTGGCTATATATATATCGCTATATAATATAAATTTAAAAACTCTTGATAGAACCACAATAAAAGCCACAAAAATCACAAAATACGAACTTTCAACAAAATGCTTTATATAACTATTTAAAACACTACAGTAAATGCAAAAACAAAACCTAGTACAGAATATTTAACATAAAATACTAGGTATATTACACTGCAATTAGTTTACACCGTATTTGGCAGCCAATTCATCGTACAGAGCGACGTACTTGGCCTTGGCATCGTCTTGGCTCACACCTGAAGAGATTTCATTAAAATATTCAATTGGGCAATCGTTACACAATGTAAAATACTCATATCTTAATATTATTTTTTAATTACAAATATTTGGCTTTCTATATGTTTAAAAAATTGTCATTCTTCAGTTTCCGAACGCAACAAAGTCGCCAATTACATATTACACCACCATCAAACGTATCTTACCCTTCTTTTCGTTCCACGCATTCCATTTGGCCTTTCCTTTCATGTCAAAGAATCCAGGCTGGGCAGTATTGTTGTCGCCAACAGTTGCTTGCTTGAACAAAGCATAAATCTGGAGCAATTCATCGTTGCTTGGAGAAGTCTTCAAAGACTTTACCTTCTCAACAGCTTCATCGTAAGTCTAAAACAACGGAAACCACATTAAAAAGCAAAGAACACAATCTTCAATATAAAAAAAATACCTCTAAAAATAAACAAAAACGGCTGTCAACAACATTTTGGATATTATTTCTAATAGAATCTTTTCATTTTTCATTAAAATCCAATTAAAAAACCTAAAATAATATACTTACTGTCATCTTTAGCAGCAGAACTAACGAGAAATCGATTATACAAGTTTACAACCAATGAATAATCTAGCCAAACGTCAATTGAAAGGTTAAGTTTGATCAAAATATTCGCAAATATGTTTCTTGATAAGAAAACGTGTTGCAACAAACAAGTCGATATTGACATTGCGTCTCTCTAAAATAAATTTGGAAAAATATTTTCTCGACAATTTTATCCGGGTGTTTATAATAAACAACAATGGCAGGAACTAGTGGAATGCCGGTAAGTTGTTTTTATGAGTTTATTGATATTGTTTTAGGGCAATTTTCAACAACAAGATTCAGCAGCTGCCCAACAGAAGGCTAATGAACAGGAATTGATGAAACAGAGTATTTTGAGTCAAGTAGGTTGTTTTACAGTTGATCTTTTGTCTTTAGGTGCTGAAAATGGATTCAAAAGCTGGTTTGAAATGTTTTTAAGTTTCGTATATAAACGTCAAATTATTATTCATAGCTCTTTCTGTTTCAAAAAGTTTTTTGAGCATATGGGTTAGCAATATCGTTTTCTACTGCTTCTATTATAATAGATTGAAAGTTGACATTATTAACTCTGTATCTTGCTTTTGAAGGCGTAGTTTTTAGTATTTTATTGATTTTCAAATTTATATTATTATACGGAACTTATTAGGTTTATTTTACTTTTAGGTGTTGGACCAAGATGCTCTGGCGAGATTAAGCAATTTAGCAGCAGTAAAACCTGACAAAGCTCGTGGAGTAGAAGCCATGATCATTCAGATGGCGAGAACGGGACAGATTGGAGGAAAACTTGACGATGAAGGGTTCAAGAAGATTTTAAACCAAGTTTCAGCAGCTTCGCAGAAAGTTACCACTGTTAAGGTGAGTTTATTCGACCAAGTTTATTCTTCATTGCACTTTTTAACATTAATTGTAAGTTTACTTCCGTATGCCAATATTTTAGCCACGACAATATATTATAATACTTTATTAACAATTTATTCATTTTAGTTTGACCGACGAAGATGTGCCTTAGATTCGGATGATGATGATTATTGAAAACTACTTGTAAATGATATCACCACACTGCTTTCTATTTTTTATCAATAAAAATTACATTCTGAGTCTCTGCATATTAAGTTTGAGAAAATAAGCGATTAGAAAAATGGCATGAAATACAAAATTAGTTGATTCCCAGACTCCGGATCTCGTCTAGAACGTTCTGAGGTATACCGAACGACTTTGTGGGTGTTTGTAGGGTTTCGCGTTGATTCGTTTGTAGCTTTAGTTGTTCTTTGTAGTGATGTAGAACGTCTTGGTCAGCAGGACACGATTCAATGAAGGCAGCTGTCCTGTAGGCGGTTAAGATGTAGCTCCATAGGTGAGTAAGGTCAGAAGGGATCTCGAAGCCGAGCAGAAGTTGGCCCACAATCTTCACATGGTGTAATCGAGGCATCAATTCGCAATCGTATTCTGTCATCGTATCTCCAGCAAGATACCGTGATTTTCGCTCGGCCAAAAGGTTGTTGATGGCTGTTAACTGTTCGATTAGTTTGTTATATGTTACAAGGACGTTGGTTGGTAGGTCTTGGATTAGGGTCACTTGTCGTAGTTGTCGATCGTGGCCTACTTTGGCTTGAAGGAATACTTTGAAGTTCTGAAAAATAACATTGTCTTACTTTCTTTGTTTGAAAAATAATATTATTACCTAATTATAAAACTTTTTTAATTAAATTACGACATTTTATTAAAGTACTACATAAAATGTGAGCAATATTAAAAATTAGTCTTTTCATTCATGTACAATATAATCTCAATATATCATCGAAAAACTTACTCTGTACAAGTTCTGAATTGTCTTCTCTACCGTAAGGTCTTTCTCAAACAAGGAAACATGAAATTGTTTAGCCAAATGGAAGATTCTGCCTTCAATATCTCTGTTATCGGAGTGGGTAACACCTTTACTGCTCTCGACCATGATTGGTGGCTGTGCTCCCAAAAAGTTCTTCTTGAAGGCTTCTGAATTCACTTTCACTGTTTTTACTTCAACTCGAACTACACCAACTTCGTATAGAGCATATAATTCCATCCAAAACTCTTGGCAGAACAAATCTGCACCTATCCGGCGGCTGTCGATTCCTGATGCCTAAAATAATGTTGTTAAACGGTTAAACGGAATAAATCATGAACACAGGTTTCAAAACAATATCAAAATACTTAAACTTTGCATAAAAAAACTTTTACCCTTCCTTGTCAAATTAAAAGTGACCAATAGAAATTTGATACCTAAAACCACAGATCAAAACAGAAAAACCTACCTTAACATAGAGCTCCAACAGAGGTTTGTCGTCGTAGAAGCCGTTCCGCGCGGCATCATCGCCGTTCGGAGCACTGCTCATCTTCGCACTTACTTGGAATGCTTAAACACTGAAAAAAAAACAGGTGAGACTCTCGACAAGAACCCGGACACTCGAGAAAAAACAAAAAGCCGCGACAAAACTTCGCCTCAAGGCTTTGGAGAGGTCGCACTCCACTTTTGGTATAGTAAATCGCGCAAACAACCATTTGAGAGACATATAAGCTGGGGAACTTGGCCAGATATTGTAGTTAGACAGCGAACTTCGCAAAAAAAGAAAAAATTCCAAAATTTCGAAAAGTCCGATTTCAAACGAAAATTTTCCCGCCAGAAATTTTCGAAGTGGCAAAAGCCATTTTTATAAAACAAAATGTGTAGTTCATTAAACGTGATGTGTGGCAGTTCAAAAAGTCCAAATCAAAGGGTAAAAAGTCTTTTTAAATTTAAGCATATCACTTAAAAAACGTATAATCAGTTGATCTTCCACCCGGAATGACCCAAAAGTTAGTTATAAAAATATATATAGCCCGCGGTTTTAACAAGCAATTAGTAACCACGAAAACTAATGGATAATAAAATCAAAGACGGTTTACGACTGACAGTCGAATATAACGATAACAATTAGTCACTTCCTTTAGTTCCTGTTACAAAATGTCCGAAAAATAAGTGGTTAAAAGTTCAAAAGTCGCTCTGAAACTTTAATTGGGAACAGATGATTGTACTTTCTATGATTATCTTCTTACAGTAAAATTTTAGAATTCTATAAAAGTTTTAAAACTAATGTAGGATACCGTAAATAAATATGTTGCTTACAAAGAATACGACAGTAAAATTTCCATAAAATCCGCCTTACAATAGAATAAAGCTTGAAGCAATAATACGAACTTGTATACAAACAAAAATAGCCGGTTCCTTCATCCAACTGGTTATTTTACCCATATCTCATATTATTCATAACAAATTAGCTCAAAACAGGCGTCGAGGCGGCGACAAAGATTTCGTAAATAAATGCGAGAAACAATTATCGTCATCTCCATTACACAGAAAGGTCAAGCGACGGCCGCAGGTATGATCTAGATTGTGGAAGATCCGGCGAACCTTTTCGAGCGCCTGAATCCCGAAGAATGCTTGAAGTGAATGGAGAAGCGGGGCTCGCATTCAAGCGCTCCGTTAAACGGTAAAAAATCGGTCACAAACTGAGCTAATCGCCACGTTGGTGACGGTAATAAAACAGCATGGGCACGTTTAGTTTGGCAATGGGTTGACATTTGGAGACAAATTAAATAGCAACACTATGTGAGGTATCAGTACTATTTGTGGTCTCAATATAACGTGAAGTCTCCATACTATGTGAAGTCTCAATACTACATGAAGACTCGGTACTATGTGGAGTCCCACTACTATGTGAATTCTCAATAAAACGTGAAGTCTCAATACTATGTGAACTCTCAATATTACCTAAAGCCTTTGTTTTCGATTTACTAAAAAACCAGCAGTAAAATATATACTACTGTAGTCAACTTATACAGCCTTAAAATCATTTTCACAAGTAAAACAAAAATTTCAGCTGGAAATCCTTTGAAATACCAACCTTAATCTGCCCACTTAACCCTTAAACGTTCAAAACTCGCTTGCGCGACCAAAAGTCCCGAGACCCCGAACAAAATGCCGAGATCGGGTATTATGCAAAAAAACGCAAATACGACAACAAGTGGAGGCTTCTTTCTTGGCTTGCGTCGTCAGTTTTTTCGAGGGCTGCTAGTCGAGCTGAAAAGGGAGGTAGACGGAAAAAGGGAGGGGGGATTCGGGGCAGAGACGCGCTATAAAGATGGTTGCGAATCAGAAAAAAAAAACCGAACGGACAGTTTTTGCGGACCATCGAACGCTTTTTCTTGTTTAGACTTTCATTCCGTGACTCATTAACCGACAGACGGATGGTTCAGCAATGAGCCGCAGGCCAAATATAAAGGCCTTTGAAACTTTTAGGGGTGATTTGGAAACGTGAAACAAAATTAAAAACGCTTTAGCATAGACTGGGTATTAAGGTCAAAAAGAACGTCAAGTAAAAGATAAAAAACTAAAAAGGATGAATTTAATTTGGCAATGGGTCGATACTTGAAAATAATGCACTAATTAGCAATACTATGAGAAGTCTCAGTACTGTTTGAAGTCTCAACACTATGTAACCTCTCAATATAATAACGGTACACAGAACAAATAGTATTTAACGTTAATGCTACTTTGTAAACAAAAAAAGTAACAAAAAGGTAATAACACTTTCCAATCCCAGTTATCCCACAATAAAACCGAACCCAAAGTAAAAACGTGGTTCCATTGTCGTAACTCAACGTAAACTGTTTTTATAAAATATTTGAAAAGTACAGTCACCTTCCCTTGCAGTAACAAGATAAAAGCAAAAAAAGTATTCGTAAACTCGATTTTGTGTTCGAAAACTTTTACTTTTGGTGGGGTTTCATGCCCCTTCCTCTTTCCGACATTCCATAAACCGCTTATCGGGCTGATAAGAGGAAAGGACAGTTTGGAAAGAGAACCTCCGGAATGTACACTTCCATTCTTTGATTTCAAGAGCGACTTTTGTACTTCATAAAATATAATAGGTAGTTAAAAAAATATGAATAATATAAAACGTAACGGAGTAATAAATAGCAATTTATGTACATATACATTGAAAATATGATAGCTTTATAAAAATGTAATACTTTTTTATGGCTTACACTGGTGCTTTGTGTTTTGAAAAAGTAAAAACTCGCTTTTATAGTAATTGACGTTGTCCTACGTTCAGTCATACAGGTATAATAGTAACGACAGTTCGTTCCAGAGGGCTCCGGAACCGGCTCCGGAGCTGGAGCCGGCGCGAAGCTAAAAGTCAAAAAAGGTCGGAGCTGAAGCGAAAGCCACAAATTTTAAATATGGGGAATGTGATAGTAATATTAAAACTTTTAACACATTGATTTTCATATCAAATGTTTTTCGAATTGTAATGACTAAAAGGTCGTTCAGAAGCGAAAACGTACACATAAACATAATAATCATCATAAAACTATACATTCATTTTTAATGTTACTATCATTATATTTTAAAAAATATTTATTACTAGCAGTGTTTGCATTTTTAAAATTTATAAACAGGTCCAGTTGCAGCTCTGGTTCCGGCACGGACCGATTTTCCAATTTTAGCTCCAGCTCCGGAGCCAAAGCTGCTCCGGAACCCATGGAAACATTGATTACCAGTGAAACAAAACTTTAATAAATTCATGTTGAAAGACGATCGAAAATGATTACAATAATCAGATAACAGAAAGCGTTAAAAACTAAATTGATTATGCTTAGCTTTGTTGAAATAAACTTATATTTTTGACCACCCGCCTTATGTTTATATATAAATTTTTCAAAAAATTAAACCGTATTTATCACCAGTAACAAGTTATTGCATATAAAAGTACAACTGCTTTGAGAATTTGCTAAAAACCTTAACAAAATAAAAAAAACAATATCCATACGTCTACTATGTTATATAAGTATATATAACAAGAATTATATGGCCTTGTATCCTCTAGGCAGTGAAAGGATCGACAATCTACGTCCAGTCTCTGAGAACGTGCGGCTAGCAATACTGGCTCGTTTTCGTCGTAGAACTCTCTCCACGGCTTCTGTATCGCCCAAAGCATCTGCTTCAATTTCGAATTTGTTTTCTGATTCGTACGGTGCTACAGTGTTGGGCTTACGTTTACTGTCACCACCAGCCCATGATCGGGGAGTAACTTGGGCAGTGGCGTCGAAAACGATGGTGACAATGAAGACCAAGACACATACAAAAATGAATAGTCTTGACCACTAAAGCAATATTGTTATTCGCTTTTTTAATAAATTTTTCTTCAAAAAGCTTAAGCTGATTAATTTTAGTAAAAATTGTAAAATTTCACTATAGACTGTCGCTATAAACTAATATAATGATATACCTCCTCCTTGCTGTTGTTAGGCGCAAACAATGTCACAATACCAGGTAGTGCTAATACGATAGCACTGTTGCTGAATCCATTAATAGCCATTAGGAAATGTACAAATCTACCAGATACCAGCTGAGTACTCTTGATAACTCCAACACAGTTAAGACCACTGAAGATGATAGCTGAAGTGTAGAACAATTGGGCCCAAGCTGATAATTCGATTGGCATAAGAGCTAGGCCAAGGAAGCAACCAGCCATACAAAACTGCGAAACCGAAGCGAACAGAATCACTCTGGCTTTGGCACCAATACCAGGTATGTTGTCACTCAATGGTCCAGCAATAAACTTCACTAAAATGGCCAAGAGATATGGTACTGCTGCAGCAAAACCAGTGTTCGTGACGTCGAATTTCAATACCTTAAGAAGTAGTGATTTTTTGATATAGGATTTAGTAGCTCATTAATTTTTATACAAACTTATATCATTATAAAACGCAATGAAAAATTAAAAAATTTAAACCCATAACATTGTTCTACATCCCATCATTACCTTATTCAAATAAACAGGGCCGTACTGGAAGAATGTCTGAAAACCAAAGTTACCACCAAAGCAAGAACACAAGATACCAATAATACATGTGTCTGTGAAGATACGCTTGTATGGAATTGGTTCGTACTCATCTTCTTCCAGTACTCGTACTATTTTACCTTCTTGTATCTGCTTCAGCTCTTTTTGAGACACGTGTCTAAAATGTCATAATGAATATGAATATAATGTGTGACTTCGATAATGTAACAAAAATACAATGTATCATAATGTAACAAGACGACAATATAATTTTTTATTCGTCTCCTCACTTATGATTACATTACAGAATAAAAATTAACCATAAACTTTTATTCCCCACTAACCTATGTTCAGCCGCAGTATCTCTATAAAACCAGTAAAACAAAGCCACGACCAATACAGTAGCCACTCCTTGAACATAAAAAGCACCCTGCCATCCCACAGCACTCTCACATAATGTGCCAGACAACGGCATAGTAACAACAGCTCCAAGCTGTAGATGACACGATAATAAAGCTACAGCCATTCCTGACTGCGCCAAACTTGACCATTCAGCTACAATAGCTCCCATCACTGGCCATGACGTAGAGACCCCGACACCTTGTAATACTCTCATGGCAAAAACAAATGGCATCCCAATAGATACACACAATGGCGACAGTAATGTTGCTCCGGCTGATATTAAGCCATACACGGAGAATGTCAAACTGTAAAGGTTGCAACTACTGTAAGTAAGTAAACTTACCGAATACCGTATCTGGAGGTTAAATAAGTGATAGGTAACGTTCCAAGTAATGTCCCTATAGCAATGGCTGAAAACAACCAACTACGTTCCAAATCGCTGTAAATGAAGTCTGGTTGCACAGCTGAAATATAACATTTAGACATTGATTTTTTGTCAATATTATCGTATCTTCCGAAAGCTAGAAAAACTAAAAGCTAATATTCTATAGCAAAAACTCAATATAAAATTAAAAAATAAGTTTTAAAACATTACAAACAACCTTACCGCCAGGTGCAGTCTCATTAAGCAGCAAATATTCTTCTCCCGGCTCTACCATGCAAATAACTGTAAAATTAAATACAAGTGAGTTTGCCATAACAAGTGTAAGACCTAACGTTGACATTAAAATTATTAACCATCGTGTTTTGTGCCTAAACCAATAGTTTTAATAAATAATATTAATTACTTTACTTCTAATTAAAACTTGCGCTATAGTGAAACTCATGTATAACGAATGCCAATAGAACAAAAATCTTGAAAAACAAAGTTTTAAAATTTTACCAACACTACACAGTGCTTTTAGAAGAACTTTATATTCCTCCGTTATAAAAAACAAATTTAGGAACTCCGAGAGCTTCGTTATACAGGAGTTTTACTTTATTTCTTAGTTTTTCGATCTACAGTAAAAATAAACTTAAATTACCTGAAGATTAGTGTCGAATCATTTTCCCCAGGTAGTTGAATAGCTTTCTGAGCAAAGGCGATCGATGTTCGTCGAACATTTTCTTCGCTCATTCGAAGAACCGGGTCCGCGTCCGCCGAGTATTGGAATGTATCTGCTGTCATTGATGCAGTAGACGAGCTAAAGTTAATTTTTTAACATAATTTACGTAAGCAAGCTACTATAAAACATATACAAACGTATGCACTACTTATACAATATATTACAATATAAGCTACCTGAATACAATATAAACTACCAAACGAAAAAAACGAAGAATACTAATATAGCCTGACTTTGTAACCTTTAATGTTCCTCAAACTCTCATAACTCAGATTAAAAGGTCTTCTCTTTTAGACTAGCTGCTCACCGCTGTCGTTTTACCATAAATTAAAATAGCTTTTCATTGAGATTCTGTATTTTAGAAACAAAACTTTACATGTTTATGCTTTACTACTTCCATTGTCTGGCCGAGAGAACATAAAAATCTGAACGTGAAAGTTCTTACCCACCTGTGTTCCATTTTTTAATGTTATGGATTTAAAAAATTAGCAAAAAAACCAGTTCAAAGGACTTTACAATTTGATCTATAGCAAAAGTAAGCACAATATACAGTAAAAATAATATATTTTGAAATTTGCAAGCTTATTTTTAAAGCTTCAAACAAAAATTTGAAAAATTATGTCTTGAACTCTTTAAACTAGGTATTAAAAGATAAGAAAAACAAATTTCTAGAACAGCTGTGGCCAAGTTCAAAACATATTTATACCCAAAGTTCAAAGTTAGAGATCATGCGCGCTGATTTCACTTAATTTTAAGACTTCTTGAACCCTATACCTTAAATTTTTTTTGTCATAAGTGCAAACCCTCAAAATTATTACTCATTGTTAGAGTCAAAAAATATTTAGAATTTTAAATTAATTCCTTAAGGCCACATTGAACTAGCTCCTAAAGACCAAAAACAATATTACTTATTCCGTGGAACCTCATACCCGTTATGTATCAAAAACTTATAATTCCCGTCCCTCTATTGTATATAAAGCCATACTCAAAATAAACTCCAAAAATATAATATAAGGGACGAGCTAAATACATCGGATGGTCTAAAATATAATAATGATGCTTTTTAAAAGTCCATAAGTTGATATTTCCAAATGCAAATTTCTAAACTGATCAAGATCACTTTACTAACTATTGAATATTTCAAAAGCCGCTTGTTTTTACAAAACTGTAATAGTTTTCGTAGCAACTAATCTATACCTTTACCAAAAGTTGTCATATACGCAAAAATCAATTTTAAAAATTTTTTAAATTCTGTATTAATATATGTTATAACATATTACTTGCTTACCATGTTTGTAATACTCACAAAATCAACAATTATTCATACATAATATCTAACACAATTTTCACAATGTTTAAAACAACAAATTCAAGCTAAAATTTGTAAAAATATTCAATTTCTAAAAAATGCGTCATTGAATGCTAGAAAATACGTCATCAATAAAAATATTTTATTTTTCGACAAAAATCTGTAAAAATAAAGTAAATTTTCTTTATTATTGTTAGTAATTAGCTAGTAATAATTTAGTTTCAATTATTTATTAGCTTCTTTTCCGACTTTAGTATATTATATTATGGAGACCGCAACTTGTCCATTTGGTGCTTTCGGGGACAAACTAGGACAATTGTCGGAAGAAGTCGTGGAAAAGACGAAGGAGTTGAATGTTTTTGGCAAGTTTGATGAAGCTAGAAAGAAAAAGAAAGGTATGCTTTATGTTATTCTCAATTTTCTATTCATTTTCATAAGTATATTTTGTTTCCTGACTTATTACATTAATATTGCATTTTGGTTAGGAAAATAAGCAATGTGTTGTGAATAATATACTAAGTAAAAATAAGTTGTGAATAATGATATGTTATGATTTTAGCTGCATTATGTGGCGAAAAAGTTCGTATGAATGCCAGAATGTCGACCAGAACGTACGGGCTGAAAGACGGTGATGTTATTGATAAAGGACCTTTGTTTGAGGTGGTAGAAACTCGAAAAGAACGTAAAATCAGAGTGGAAACTGACGCAACGATGGAGAAGATCTATCCAATACAGTAAGTTTATCTTTCTTTTGGTTTGGTTGTCGTTTAGATGAAATGCCTTTATCTGTTTACCAACTTCGATAAGATTGATTTATCATTAACTTTAAGTTTTTCATTCCAGAAGCTTTGCCGAAGCCGGGTTCTACTACAACATCACGACGAATGCCATGAGCCATGGTTATCGTAAGCCGACTGCTATTCAATCATACGCAATACCGTATTTATTAAAATCTAGGCGTGACATTCTGGCCAGAGCGGATACTGGCAGTGGAAAAACAGCTGCTTTCCTATTGCCGGCTTTGGATTTGGTTAGAAAGTGGAAGTTGGATACTGGAGAAAGTAAGAACATAAACACGGACAGTCCATATATTTTAATACTTGCTCCAGCACGCGAATTGGCTCTTCAGGTATATCGTGATGCATTGGCTTTCTGCAGAGGTATGTTGGGATTGGTTAAATGAATAAAACGTATATTTTTATACAGCCGTTGTCAAAAAATAGTGAACTTTTTTATTTTCTACATAACTTTTGTCGTAGTTATCCGATTCTTATGAAACAAAGTTTGTTTTGGTAGCTGCTGAACCTACTATTATAACCAAATGACAAATTACTTAAAATATGTCATCGTGACTCAATATATAGATACAAAAAATTAAGGGTGGACAAAAAATAGTGAACTTTTCTGAATCCTATCCCAAACATCATTAAAAAGGTAAGATTTAAGTAGTTGTTGTCATTAAATATTGTTTTAGTTAAGAATGAATGGAAAATAATTAAAATCGTTAAGTTTAAAAGTCAAGAAGGTGATCTTTCAACGCATCGAACAAGGCGACCTCATGTACAACATCGCAGAAGATTTTTCAATAAATAAGGCTATTGTTTCGCCTTAAATGCTCCCAAATGTGTTCTATCGGGTTAAGATGTAGAGTTTGTGAATGCCAAAGCAAAATACGAACTTTTAGTCTACTGAACATAGAATTTGCCTGTTGTGGTATGTGCCTTGGGTCATTGTCTTGTTGAAAAAAATCCACCCCTTGGAATTTTTACCTTAGTAAACGGATGCATATGCTTCTCAATACTGTCAGCGTAAGTTTTATTATCCATCCACCCGTCAACCAGGACTAACGGACCAACTTGAGATGAGGTAAAGAAACCCGACACCATGATACTGCTACCTTGATGTTTCATGGTTATTACCTGGTGCTTTAGGACAAATCTTGTTACTTTTTTTTGCCTTGCACACACTCCACCTTTATTATATCCAAATATATATATCCAAATAAACCAAACTTGCTTTTGTCGGTCCACAACACTTTATTCCGCACCTTCTCAGTCCACTTCTTATTTTCACCTACCCATTTCAATCGGATCGTCTGGTTCTTCTTCCTGAGCAACGGTTTTTTTGCTGGACCACGTCCATTGAGTTTGATTTCGATTAGTCTTCTTCAGTCCGATCAGTTACTTTAAAATCGTAGAACTGCACCATTTCAACGTTTATTCTGGGTACAGCCTTCATCGGGTCTTTTCGAGACAACTTTGCAATCACCTTACCCTGATATTTTGTCGATTTTCTTGTTCTTCCGTTGTTTAAAAAGCCTTATGGATGTTGTTCTTCTTATAACGCTTCCAAATTAAAAAAAATGTAATTTTGTTTATCGAAAAATCTTCTGCGATGTTGTACATGAGGTCGCCTTGTTCGATGCGTTGAAAGATCACCTTCTTGACTTTTAAACTTAACGATTTTAATTATTTTCCATTCATTCTTAACTAAAACAATATTTAATGACAACAACTACTTAAATCTTACCTTTTTAATGATGTTTGGGATAGGATTCAGAAAAGTTCACTATTTTTTGTCCACCCTTAATTTTTTGTTTCTATATATTGAGTCACGATGACACATTTTAAGTAATTTGTCATTTGGTTATGATAGTAGGTTCAGCAGCTACCAAAACAAACTTTGTTTCATAAGAATCGGATAACTACGACAAAAGTTATGTAGAAAATAAAAAAGTTCACTATTTTTTGACAACGGCTGTAGGTGTAATGGTTACAGTAGTATAAATGGCGGTTTTGTATATCATATAGCTCAAATTTTTGATTAAATTAGTGTATTTCAACTTGATTTAAGTGTTTATTCGAGCTAAAATAGATATGGTAAGAAAACTATGGTAATATCACTTTTTTAGGTACTGGATTGAGGATCTGCTTGGCTATAGGAGAAGTCCACATGTTGGACAGTTTGAGGATGATACAAAATGGATGTGATATTGTTATAGGAACTCAAGGACGGGTTGTTCATTACTTTTTTGGAATTGATAACAAAGGTACTATGGTAAGTTTCTAATTCAGCGTTTCATCTTCGAACGTTAGTTAGTATATATGTTTTTTTTGTATTTGTTTTTGAAATTAAAGTAACCTTTGGTAAAGAAGGCTTTAAAATTGCAAACTATATTATTTTAGGCCCACTTGAACTTTAGAAACTTGAGGTGGTTGGTATTGGATGAAGTAGATCGTGTTTTACAAGATCCCAATTACAACTCAATGTTAAAGAAGTTCACGAAGAAGTTTGTAAGTTTAACTTTGCAACAGGGACGTCACTACAGTTAAATGACAGGGTACAGGAAGGAAGAGGAGAGGGTAGGGGTAAATCACTCAAAAATTTTTTTAATTCCTTAGCCTTCTTCCCTATAGAATTATGTAACATATCTCGTGTACTTCAATATTTTCAGGCCACACTACCAAACCCGGTTCGAACGATTATGTTTTCAGCAACTCTGGACTTGGAAAGCATTGGAAACATTTTAAAGGAAGATCATTACCGAATCATATGTGGAGACAGTACGTCGCCGGTCGATACTATTGTTCAAGCTTTTGTTCAAGTGGTTGGTTTTTTAAATTTATTGGTCTTATAAGTATGACAGGATTGGTTTTCTCATTGAAGTTTTGATTCATTCTGTTTTAGAACACCAAAAAAGGACAACACAAAACCGACTATCTTTTAAGACTAATGCAGCTTCAAGCTTCTCCAGTCAAATCGCCCTCTGGCTCCAAGACTCTTCAAGTCCCAAAGACCATTATCTACCTAAACAAGAAACGTGTAGCCGAATACTTGTGTGTAAGGCTTCTAATGAGTGGATTCAGAGCTCTACCGTTGAGTGGTGACCTTCCAATGCACAGAAGGATATCAGCTGTAGAAAAGATGAAGAATGATGAAATTGACGTCTTAATAGCGACTGATGTGGCATCAAGAGGATTGAACATACCAAACGTGCATCATGTTATCAACTACGACTTACCATTGTACAACTTTTTTGAGTACGTTCATAGGATTGGAAGGTGCGGCAGAATGGGCCATGTTGGACGTGCTACATCGTTCTACGATCCGTTCGTTGATCGGGAAATTTGCTCTTTTTTGAAACAAGTATGTGTTGGGGGTGGTATTTGTAGTGGAGGGTATTTTCTTCAAAAAATTTTTAAGTTTTCACCTTTCTTCTCCTCTTTGAAAAAATATATAGATGTTTTTTGTTATTTTAAAATCGGCAATGAATAAAAGATTAACAATAATGTATTCTTCAGGTATTACTCCAAGTTCACCAACCAGTACCAGATTTTATTGAAAAAGCGGCCAAAGATGTTGACTTGAGTTACATGGGCGAATTATAAGATGAATATATTTCTTTCTGATAACCACAGTCAAGTTATTATAACTCCTTACTCCTACTAATTCAACTTTCTTCTAAGGATACCTTATTTTAACTGTTATCTAGTTATTTTGTTTATTGTTTTTTTGTTGTCATATTTTGTTATTGTTAGCGTTATGTTATTACAGTTCCTTGTTATTTAGTTTTATGTTGTTAACTTGTGTTTTTATGTATGTATTTTGAACTAATGTTTTGAACAATAAAAATATTTTTTTTTATTTTTCAGTTCTATATTTGTTACAGTGACACTCTTTAGTATGACCTCAATAGTGTGAAATCCCTTTTATAATGAAATCTGCTTGACCACCCTTTGTAATATTATAGAACTCCTATCAAAAAGGTACCTGGATAGTGTGACACCCTGGTTATAAGGACAGGTTTGGATCAGTCCCCTGTGTGTCATACTAAAGAGGTTTGACTGTATAGCTATTATCAAATTTAAAACGTTTTAAAAAGTTAATAAAATAGGTTTATTTTTTTAACAGTATGCTAACCAAATAATCGACTAAAAAATCAAGCTTTTCGTTAATAATTCAAATTTCGTACGTCAACGAAAGGTCTAGATCTATAAAACATGACATAAACCTATAAAAGACCTTTTAAACGTAAAATTGCATAATATACTCGCGAGAAGAAACAGACATAGCTAATAAGGGGAAAGGGAAATCTCGGGGAATGCGTTTTCGGGGAGTACATTTTCGGGGAGGAAGTTTCGGGGAATGGTATTTTCGGGGAATGTAATTTCGGGGAATAATATTTTCGGGGAGTAAACTTTTCGGGGAAAATTTTTTAAAAAATTTATAATATTTTGATATAGTTGTGAATGACTAAAAATAATTTGATTATATTAATTATATTATTAATATATAATGTATAACTAATATTCAAACTAAATAATTTAGTTCAATTGGAAGACTAAATCACATATTCCTTTTTACCCTTACTGAATCACATACTGACCGAATCACATGTGCCTTTATTATCATGAACGTGACATCGTGCCGTGAACGTTGACACTTTTGTGTATAGGTTTAATGTAAGGTCACATGATAAGTAGAGTACAGTGAAAGTTATCGTACTGCGCCGTGAACGTTATAATGTTACTGTTTTTGTAATGGTTTCGTAAAAATATCAGAGAGTAAATGTAAGATATCGTTATCATTGTACTTGAAAAACATAAAAATTAGAACGTTCACGGAACGGTACAATAACTTTCACGGTACTCTACTTATCATGTGACCTTACATTAAACCTATACACAAAAGTGTCAACGTTCACGGCACGATGTCACGTTCATGATAATAAAGGCACATGTGATTCGGTCAGTATGTGATTCAGTAAGGGTAAAAAGGAATATGTGATTTAGTCTTCCAATTGAACTAAATTATTTAGTTTGAATATTAGTTATACATTATATATTAATAATATAATTAATATAATCAAATTATTTTTAGTCATTCACAACTATATCAAAATATTATAAATTTTTTTAAAAATTTTCCCCGAAAAGTTCACTCCCCGAAAATATTATTCCCCGAAATTACATTCCCCGAAAATACCATTCCCCGAAACTTCCTCCCCGAAAATGTACTCCCCGAAAACGCATTCCCCGAGATTTCACTAACCCGCTAATAAGATACTACAAAAAAGACAGAGACGTAAAAGAAACATTAAAAAAATGTGCACAACAATAATTTGTGCGGTACCAACTTTATATAAATCTGACCAACATCAATATATTCGCCATTAAATAAAATCGTTTACATCAACCGGTTTTTTGTTAATTTTTCGCTATAATGTAAGTTGTTGTTGTGCGTTAATGTTAGTTAGGAAATAAATAACACCGTTTTTTTGTGTATTTGACAAATATTGTAATTAAAAATAATGATTACAATTTATTAAACAGTAGAATCGCCTTTTAAATAGTATTGTTTTTAGTAAAAATGTCAAACGACTGTGCCCCCGCTCTCCCACCAGCTGGTTCGGCCATCCTCAGAACCAACTTTATGGCAGCACAAAGGGCTAGATTGGACTCCAGCCCAATCATTGCAAATGTAGCGGGCTTAGCAAGGCTTTTCGCCCCGGAAAAGCCGCAGAAGCCAACGCCAATGTCTGCCGGCAAGGACGCTAGATGGCTGGACGAGGACGAAGGGCATTATAAGGTCGAGGAAAAATCGGCCATGCCGTCCACTAGTGGCACAAACAGTGAAATAGAAGAAGAAGACGAAGCTAAAGAAGAAGAACAAAGGGCTAAAGAAGGCGAGAACAAAGAATCGATTGAAGAAGAGACAGCCGGTTGCTCGGCCGAAGCCTCAGAAACAAAGGCTGCCAAACGGCCTCACGAAGAGGACTTAAAAGCTGATCAAAAAATGAGAAAAAGGGCAAAGCAAATCAGATTAAAAGAATGCGATCAGCCCAAGGATGAAGAAGAACGGTGGAAGCGGCTCTGCATGCTGTTCCAAGGGCGAAGAACTATTCATCCCAAGAGGATCAACAAGTTCTTAACTGAATCTGCAGCAACAGAAGAAGAAAAATAGACTAATATGGTGATTTCTTAAAAATATGTACAATGTATCACTAGTATTTAAAATGACCTATATTTAATAAATTATTAATTAATTCAACTATCAATATTTAATAAATCATCCCATGAAGATAAAGGCATTCAGAGCTTTACTTTACTAATCATCGAGAGTTTGAAAATTAACAGTTTATTCAATTTGTTTAATAAAACAGATTTGAAGGTACTCCTTTATGCCAGTTTTGGTGCAGTGATCTCCAAATGCAGTCGGGACAATTTTAAAAGAGTACGGTTAAAATCAGTAGTCATAAGTTTAATATAATGTAATAAAATAACCATATTGCTATCTTTTTTGAATTATATAGCTGATCAATATCAAAACACCTCATGTTAGCCCCGTTCTATCAAGTTATCGTTCATTTGAATCCCGTTTTACAAAAAACTTCGATAAAAACCATTTCTTTAAATTCGTAAGATACTGATTGTTACCGTACTCTTCGTCCGATATCTACCAATCTTCTTGAATACCCAGCACATCTTCTTCATCATCACCAAAACCATCGATTTCTTTCATTTCTGGCAACAGTGTTTCATACTCAAGTCTTTCTTGCTCTTCTAGTTCAAGTCTTTGTTGCTCTTCTAGTTCAAGTCTTTGTTGCTCTTCTAGTTCAAGTCGCTGTTGTTCTTCTAGTTCATGTCTTTGTTGTTCTTCTAGCTGAAGTCTCTGTTGCTCCTCTAATCGTTCACATTCCTTTCCAAGTTCATCCAATTTATTTTGAAGATGATTAGTAAATTCAAGTTCCGAATCGTACCTGTAAGCGGCTACAACGTGACCATAGTCGATGTAATGGTAAGTCAACAGCGTTTTTCGAAGATCCTGGTTATGACCTATCTCTTTGACTTTGTCATCCATTACTGAATCTATCCAGTCTTGTAGGTTTTTATTCTGAAATTTAAAAAATAAATTTACTAATGAGAATATTGTATAAAATAAATTTTAAAAAAATCAAAAAGTGACTTTCCTCGACTATAAATTCTTTGAAAAACCTTTCATGAGAACTCAGGCTTGTGTTGTTTTCGGAAATCCGCGATTTATCAAAAGTAGTCTTGGTAAAGAGAGCCAAGAACTGTCGTATGTACTTATAGCTAAAAATTTTTAAAATTATAAAAGTTAATTAAACAAATAAAAACTTAAATTTATATAACTTTTTTTAATTTTATGTATTTTTTGCAAAAAATGGCGCCAGAAAAGGCTTTGAAACTGTATCTTTACCGAAATACCCTCGTATCTTCCCAAGTTTAAACAGAAAAATAGCAAAAATATACCCATTAAACGACCGTTTATTATTGCCAGACATTTCGGTAAGAAAATGGATTAAAAATGACAGTTAAAGCTTTAATTTTCATTTTGTTCAATCAAAAATTAGCCGAATGAACTTCGAATATTAAAATTTATTCAATTCGCGGGTCTTTCGGGCGCGAGCTGATCGAAGAAATCGAATTTTTTGTTTTTTCTTTGATTTTTCGCGCAAGTCGGTGTCATTTACATCATAAATGTTTTGCTAGCAACATTGTTATGAATTCAAACAAATTCCTGGATCGTCTTACTAGTTACAGCAATTTTGAAATACGTGTTCCTCGAATTCCTGTAAAAATGGTAAGTTAATATGGTTCGACCGATGTTTAGTCGGGATTTTTCTGTTTTTTTTTGAGATGTGGATTGTGTTTCTTGAAGATAAAATGCTGGATTTAGTTTATATTTGTAATACGGATAGCTTTAAGTGTTTGAAGTTGATCGACAGAGTTTTGTGGTTGATTTACGTGTGGCGTTTGTGATTTAATATTGTTTTAGACGTTTAGGTAGTTTTCACTTTTAAAAACTTAAAAAGGAAGGAAAATTTTATTTAAATTTTGACTTTGTTTTAGATAATAGGTAATCGAATCAGAGTCGAGCATTATTTTATGGTCTTACCTGAAGATTCAGCTGAAGATTCAGCTGAAGAAGCTATACCTCAAAAAGCGACAGCAACAAGACAACCAATTCCTAGGTTAAGTAAAGTAAAATCAAAATTTGATGAAAATCGTGCTGTAAAATCAGAACCTGATGCAAAAGAGCCAGTATCTACTGCTGGTGAGCCAGAAGTTGAGATAGAAGGTGCAGAACGTGAAGCGGAAGAAAGTGAGGATGACGAAAAATTTGACCCGCGAGGATTACATCACGTTACAAGCTATCCAGAACGCGAGTATGATGTTGAGAAGGTTTTGACAATGCAACATTATAATGGAAGAACGTGGTACTTGGTGAAATGGAGTGGATATCCGTATAATATGGCAAGCTGGTCAACTATAACTGAGATTGGAGCTGATAGTTATGTTGTAAGGGTTTTTTGTTGAGAGCTAGTATTGTATAGCATTTTTGAAAGCTATGTGCCTGTTTTTGAATTAAGGATGCTAGTTTTGATATAAAAAAGCTTGAATTTATCATTTTTCAATGTTTAAATATCAAAAATCTTTTTTTAAATATTTTTTAGAATGGCTTATGTTACAATTATAACTTTACAGTTTTAGTTGGAAATGTTTCAACGCCGTCTGGTCATATGTAAAGCAATATTCCACATGGCAATGGACGAACAAGAACGACGAAAAGAGTTTATAAAAGAAAAGAAGATTTCGATACGTCGGGCAACTGCAAATGAGAGATATCTTTGTTATCAAGCACCCTACTTTCCTCTAATTAACCATCCTCAAATCAACTACGTTGCCTTGTACGCCTGTCATCAATGGGAGAACGAAATGAACGTTCAGAATATTGCTCATGGTATTTCTCCCGTCTACGTTGAGAACTGGGTGGACTTTGAAGCAAAACCTCCGAATTTCACGTTTACATGGAAGAGTATATATCATGTTAGCTCGGAGAAGGTGATTGGAGCTGGACAATTGAATCCGGCGTTCTTTTCTTGCACTCAGAGGAAACATTGTTGTAAAAACTTTCTGGAACGTCAAAGAGTTATTCATCCGGCGTTCTATGAAGACACGCTTTACGAATGTAGCGAAATGTGCAAATGTGGTCCATCATGTAGAAATCGAGAAACTCAGGTGGAGTTTTTAATTTTTTTGATATTATAGTAGATTAGATTACATTTCTCGAAATTGTGCTAAAATTGTAGTAGTTTATAAGATTTTTTTGATGCTTAAAGACTAATATAAAGTATCATAATCAATTGAATTACGTAACTTTAGAAAGGCCGCCAAGTTCCGTTGGTAATATTCAGAACCGTCGAAAGTGGCTGGAGTGTTCGTGCAGCTGTCGATATGCCTCGAGGAACGTTTGTAGCTGAATATTTGGGTGAGATTATTACTCCAGAAGAGATGAGACGTCGCAAGTCTCATCGTTACATGTTCGACATTTACTTTGAAGATGGCGTGACACGAGCCAAGAAGAGAGAAGCAGTCGAAGAAGTTATGGACCAAGCGAGAGCTGGAGAAGAAGAAGACGATGATGGTGAAAGTGACTTGGTCATAGGGGATGAAAATATCGAAATGACGGATTTGGGCAGTGTTACAGGTTCTGAGGAAGGTAAGGGTTTTGAAATTTAAAAAAATTGATTAATTTTAAATATTGAGGAAAAGTGAATTTTTTGTTTTAATTGGCAATGTTGGTACTTTAAATTAAAAAAAAATTTATTTTTCAGACTTGGCCGATGAACAGGGAGGCATAAAGTCGCGTATTCACAAAATAAAACTGCAAAAGGATCAATTTCAGTTCTACGGAGGCCGATCCGAATCTACCGATTCACCTGATCTTCCCGACATTATCGAACTCTCATCAAATGATTCAGGAGACTCAGATGGCACTATTAACATTGGGACCACAAGTGAAGGTTCCTCTGATGAGGATGAAGGTGATAATGTTGATGCTGTTAATGAAAATGGTGATTTCTTATCGACAACAGACGACTCCCTTGATATCATAGAAATGCCATCACCTGACAGTATCGACCTTATGTGCACGAGCAAAGAAATACAGAAAAGCAACATTGAGCTGCCGGAGGTTGATGCCATCACCGAAGGGATTCAGAGAATCTCACACAGAAGTCCATTTAAACGTCGGAGGTTGAGCAGTTCAACATCCATGAAACATACACCAACCAAAGGCACATTGAGTATGTCAGGAGCGAGGAACAGAGAAGACGGTGATACACCAAATACCAAAGGAGATCACACCTATAAATGTAGGTTTTCATTGATTATGTAGATTAAGACTATAAAATAAGTATAATTCTTTACTTTTAAGACATTGCAATGCATTGTTTAAAATATGCTTACTATAGAGTTTGCTTCATGATTTTAGGTAACAATGTTGCTGATCCAGACTTATGTATCGACGCTGAACGGATAGGTAATGAAGCTCGGTTCTTCAACAACTCCTGCGATCCAAACATGGTTGCCTACAAGGTTTACAGTAACCCATTCGACTTCAGACTGTATAGAATTTGTTTGTTCACGTCGAGGGACGTCAAGCGAGGTAAGGACATAGTCAATGGCATGTTATAACTAATTTTTTGGTTGTTTATATTGATTGCAATCATGATTTGATTATTGCTATAGGTTTTTCTGACACGGGTCGGCATGCCATTTCTTTTTTATCTTTCATATACTTAGCGTATGTCTTATTGACATAATTATGACATTTTTTTCAGGAGAGGAATTAACCTTCAGCTACTATGTGGGCAAACTTGACCAACTCCAAAACGCCACCTGGACCGACCATTGCCTCTGTATGTATAAGGATTGTATCGGCCAAATCGGGTAGATTAATTTACTTTTATTAAGTAGTATAAATATGGGCTTCCACTTTAATTTGTAAGTGTATTTTTTGCATTCTATGGTATGCACTTTAAATGCTCTGCTTTGTTTTTTTTCTATACAACGATGCAGAAAATTTAAAGGGTTAATATAAAAGTTGCTTCCTGAAGTGGAAACCCGTATTTAGACAATTTGATATATTTTTATCGTTATCCATTATGTTATTATTGTTAAATTTTTTCGTTTCAATGTTTTTCATTTTCCAACAGATACTAACCGTCAATATTATTGTGAAGACGAAAACTATATTGTATTATGGTATTATTGTCAAATAAACGATATTTTAAGATGACTTAGAGTTTAAAGGTTTCTACATATTTCTTTTTAACGTAATTTTAAGTACAGTAATATAAATTGGGGAAACAAATTTGTTTTAATATTCAGAAATTTTTCAAAAAGACTTGTCGTCGAGTTTATCTACTCGTTCAAAAGCGACAATAATTCTTAAGGTTTTTTTTAAATATTACATTTAAAACTGGAAAAGGAAAGTTAAAAAGCCAAAGCCAACCTAAATTATCACATTTATTTGTAAGGCTTTTAAATGCAAAAGCATTTGATATTAAAATATTATAGTAGAACTAATATAGTTAGTTTCATCAACGAGGTTACAAAATACCGGAACGATCTAGGACGACGAGAGGCTCATGCTTTTACTTCGGCTGTGATTTGTTGAGATTCTTCTGTGTTTGCGCATTCTAAAATACGGTTTTTCGTGACGTTAAGGTAGATTTTAATCCTTTTTAGCATTTTTAATAACTCTAATACTATCTAAAAAATATTTTCTTCTCAACTTTCAATAAAAAAGGTTCTTTATATTACACCAAAGGCTTCTAAAATACAGAATTACTGTGATATTTACACAATATGATTAACAAAAACTTGTCAAATGTTTCGCTAATTCAGAGAAAGATTTTAAAGCTTTACTCCGCCTTCATATATAGTTTACCTTTCTTTTCTCCGTTCTCCAGGGCTTTCGCGTTAATGTTTTCATGAATGTGAGTGAAGATTTGGGACGGCACTTCCATTGTCTGATCGTCCCACAGAACGATATCATAGGAGTCGAAATATTTTGGGTAAAGCGAGTCAAAGTTAAAGTTGAGGAACCCGATTCTGAGGGCAACACCTTCTCTTTCCACCCCTACATCCATGTGAAGATCGCCGAGGGAATCTCCTAGTAGGAGGACGTTGGTTCTTGAGGCAATGGAGTGGAAGAACGGGCGTTCTTGGCCTACGACTGACGCGTTCTTATTGAAGGTGTGAATTAGGGGTTCGGAAAAGGCCTTGCACTTGTTCTGTAAGAAAATTTGGTAAGTTATGATTCAAAAAATTGTATTTTTAGAGGTTTTTGTGAACAACCTAACATAAGATGCTAATTTTAAAAAAATACTAATAATCAAAATTAGCTGACCAACAAAGCCTTAAATTTAAAAGTGTTATCTAACTTCCTTTACCAAACTTGTTTTTCTTCTACAAATTTTTAAAAAAATTACCTCTTCATCAAAGTACATCATGTTGGATATGAGATGTAGGTTTTCAGGTACTTGGTGGATTTTCTGATCCAAGAAGATTTCGATCACATTCCCGATTCCAGCGCTGAACAGCACGAGAGGGACTTGATGTGAACATACACACTTTAGGAAATCGGCAGCTCCATCTCTGAACTCAACTTTAGACTCACTGACCGCTTCGGTAATAGTTTTGAGATCGAATTTGTGGTCGATTATGTATTGATGAGATTCTTTCCACCTGGAATTGAAAAAATGTCATCAGATTAGGTATTTTTAGGTATAAAACGTGCTTTAATAATGCGTTGAACATACGTTTTTAATAATTCCTTAAAAAATACTGTTTCAATTACAACTTCATTCAAAAAATAAAAAAAAATTAGAATGTTACTACAAACGATCGTACAGATTAGGCCTATAAAGAAGCCGGGCTGCCCCCTTTCATATCTAATACAGATACCAAAACGTCGTAGAGACAGTCTTCCAATCAAAATTCTTACCACTGTTCCATGTAGGGGGTTTTTTCTTCAATTGACATAGCAGGATCGAATTCAATCTTCAGATATTTAGTTTTCAAGCGGTCAAACTCCTGAACCAGTTCTTCGCTGACGTGCTTGGCAGCAGCTTCAAATACACCGTGAGTGGTCCAGCACTTTCCGCCTTTTCCATCGTGGAAACGACTCAGCGTATAATCAAAGTCTGAGATTACCTAAACATTAATATATTATAAAATGGCAAATATTATGTTAAGAATCACTTCTCTAAAAAATGCATTTTACAATCTTAACAACAAACTAAAAAATTAGCCCTAAATAAGAACAGAAATTAACGTTTAGTACCATACATAATACGATAATCTAATCATAAAACGTTCCCAATACTAGTATACCCCCAAAAAAACAAAAAACCTTACTAGTAGCTTTTCGAACCCGTCAGCGATGATTTTATTCAGTTTTTGGCTGACTTTGGCCGGGTCTTTAATCCTGACTTTTGGGTTTTCGGCCAGTTTGGCCATAATGCATTGTACTTCTTGTGCCGTCTTCTGCGCCATTATTTCTTCTTCCGTCAACAACCGTGTGCCAGACACTAAAATACTTTTTCTGTTAAGTTTAAAAAAGGTTGACATTTTAAAACGGAACGCAACAAAAACAAGCAAAAACAAAAACAAACGATCAAAATCACACAAATGAATAAAACAATATGGTTAAAGGAATGGTTAAATATAATCATTTGGTTAACAGTAAGGTGGACTTTATAGAAATCTGATTATATTGAGTTAGAGTTAACATAAACCAATTATTCAAAGTTACAGAAAGTTTCATTAAAAAATTCCCAAAAATTCAAAATTTTCTTATCACAAAAGCCCCTGCCAACCAAAAAAACCACACCATTTCTCACAATTTATACCCAAATCAGCCACCCTGACTGGTCAGACAAGTACAACCACCTAATTGTACGCATTTTAAGCCGTCGATAAGCTTCTAATTCAATTACTGCACTTGTTATCACTACCAGACCACATTTCGTTGATAAGTCGGGTTTTCATCATCGTCTGCATAAATCAATGATAATGTCCGAGAAATGTTATCAAATGGAAAAGGACTAGACATTAAGCAAACACAAGAAAATTGGCGGGATTAAATTGAAATTACAAAAGCAAACACATTCCCAAGGAGATTACCACAGAGTAAACTTGAGTGATTTAACAGCTTTAAAGTGCAATAAAGCGAAAAGTACTAACTTAAGGTTGTAAAGTTGAAACAGGAAATTTGCATTGCAATTTAAAAAAAAAGTAAAGTGATAACATTGTGTTAGAAAGAAAAGATTACAATTGACTTTTAAGCAGCTTAACGCAAGGTTTTAGATAAGACCCTCACGTTAAATAGTCTGTAAAAATTTTAAAAAATTTCTTAAAATTGTAAAACACTGTTAAACACGTAAGACAGTATATTTTAATTTAAACCAAACATAAAAAGGATAAATTTAAATGCAAAATAAAAAAGGTAGAATAATTTTGAGTATAAAAAGTTTAAAGAGCTCGTAAAACGAGCTCTGGACCATTCCTATTGCTAAAGTATCTTTGCTCATTTTCATTTTTTGCAATAAACATTTTTTCGCTTGTTAAAATCTCTCGTGTTATACTTGATCCCACCCTTACCGTTTTCAAGCTTAAAAGTGAAAATAAAGTAAGTTATTACCTTAAAATTTGTTTTATAAAACCAGATTAATTTTAAACTTGGTAATGGCTATTTCTACTACGCAAAATATGATAATTAGCATTCCTCACTCCATAAAACCTCGAATTCACACCTAAAACCACAAAAACTTGAACAAAACGCACACTACCTGTGAAAGAACGTTGCGGATTAAAACTGGGACCATTCACACGCAAATGCCGTTGGCTACACACCACTGCAACATGGTTTTTTAGACGACAAACGCCGAAAACCCGAGTTTGAAGCGCCACGATGAATCAACCTAAAGGTGAATAATGATTCGGTGTCTTAAAATGTTAATTTACATTTATAAAACACCACTTAAAAATATAGTTCACAGAAAATCGAGAAAATAGCGGAGAATGCGGTATAAATCGAATTTCTCGTGGTTAATATCCGAAAGATTTTGAAAAAAGGGCAATATTTTCAAAATATGAAAGATTTTTCGTCTGAAAAGTATAAAACAACAAAAGACAAACGATTCCAGTTGTAAATACGTATTCTGCACCCAACAGCTATCGAGTTTTGCTGAATTGACAGTTGGTTCCGCAAAAAAATTTACAAAATATCGAAAAAAGAGTCATGTTATACGATGAAAGTTATTTTTTGTCGAAGAAAAAGTTGAAAATTGAACAACTTGGGTTTTGTGAGTTTCAAAATTGAGTTGAAATGAACATTCTTCACCTATTTTCTAGCCATACTGTGTGTAAGAAGCTATATTATTCGTAAGTTTTCGACTAAAATTCGACCATTTTTATTCACCATCAGAGCAAGTTCAACGGCTGTGCCCAACGTGAGTATTTTATCCTTTCCAAAATAAAAAATCCTAAAAAATAAATCTTAATGTGTTATATGAATTTTATTTACACACACGTATAAAAACGGGTTTAGTGGGAATTATCATTCGAAATGACGTTTAGGATGTAATGAACAATATAACAAGTGTTAAAAAACGTAAAATAATATCTGTGAAGAAATACAATGTTTAATATATAAATATTTATTATAGACCGTTAGTTTGACAATTGTTTCAAATAGTTAATATTCTAAAAATGGAATAGACTAGGCTTCTACCGAGTCTTTTCTCAAGGTTTCAGCTCATGGTTAATATAAAGTGTAAATGTTCCTAATATAGTAAAATTGTAAAAAATGAAAGTGTAAATCTCCGGGAAAAGCTAAAAACCCTAGTGGATCATTTTTCCCTATAAAGTGGTAATAACCCTGCCCGGCCTTGCCCAAGTGCAAACAAAACCCTCTTGGCAGGCGGTAACCAGACAATCGGGTCGGAAATACAGTACGGTGAGACGTTCGGTTGAGATCTTTTTACAGACTAAAGGTTCGATGACTGGCACCGCATCCATTCGAGGACACTGTGGGGTGCCAAAGAGTTGGATCGCTGGGTCAATGGCTGGTGCATCGATTGGAGATAAGGTTGGGCCATTGGATTGTGTGGAAAGGGTTGAACTTGGCCTGGAGCTTCTTGTGCTTCTGAAAAGTGATTTAATATGTATAAAATCGCTGATCTTACAATCATCAAATGTTAACCATGAACCAGCTAATTGATAAGCATAATTTGACTAACAGTTTATTCATATTCAAGTCCATAACTACACCCTCCACCTCAATCTTCAAAAACCCACCTTTCAGACGAATTATTGTGTCGATTGCCAAAGCTCAACACCCTTTTGTGCAGAAACCTTCGAGGTTTGCTAGCCCTTGTTTCCTTCGCCTCCTTCCCTCCAGACGAAGTTGTTGAAGGTTCTTCGTTAGCAAAAGCCATTACTGGACTCTCATAAGTCCCTCGAGCATCTGTTGACCTTGTAGCCACATCTGTGAGGTTATTGATCAACGTTCCACTAACCGATGTTGTTGTAGTTGCCATAGACGAGATCATTTCCTTTTGTCCAGCATCTTTGGCCTGATATCGTAGTATCTCCGTTCCCACATCCCACAGACATAACTGGGTGTCATGTGAGACTGTGCCGATACGGTAGAATATACTTTCATCATCATGTGGATGTCCATTCTGAGCTAAACTTTCTTCGGATTTACACATTGAGCTTGTTGGCTTCATTACTAGAGAGCCCAGCCTATTACGAAGCTTTTCTTCTTGAACAGTATTAGGTATTCGATTTCCGTTTTCTTGAGGTTCTCCGTTTTGTGGTCGGAAATCTAAAATTTTATGAAATTTCAATTTTAATCTTTAAAATTAAAAGCTTTTCAAAATTCGAGTGATTTTTATTTTTATGCTCAAGGTATTACTCTTTTACTTTTACTTGCCAATTTTATAACCTAAACTTACGTCTGGTAACTTCCGGTGTAACCAACGTTTTCAAGTCTTCCGTACTAGAAGCCGACCCTACATTAATTTGGTCATTCAGTGGTTTTCCATTGAAGAATCCATTACTTTGTCCGTTGTATTTGTTGTTAATATAAGGGTCAAATGCAACTTGAGATATCCAACTTTTGTGGCCTTGTCCTCGACATAAAACTCTGTTTTCGGCCAATGAAAACACTGTTAGCAAATCATCCTCTCCTCCTGTCGCTATCAACTTTTGGTCTGGCGACCATGACAGAGACAGTAGTCCACCAAAGTAAGACCGCATTTGACAAAGAAGCTCCATTTGGGAAAAGCGGAATATCCTCATGAAGCCGTCCTAAAAAAGATAGTTTATATATTTTTAATTAAAAATATCACGTCAAATTTCTCGGTATTACCAATACTATAATATAATATTTATGATTTATTTCAAGATCTTACCTGACCAACAACAGCGAATAAGTCAGTAGAATGTGGAGCAAACTCAAATTGATTTATAGCACCTTTACCTATTTGAATCCGTTTCACTGGATTTTTGTTTGGTCTATTCTTCATCGTATATACCGTGGCATGATCACTCTAAAAACAAAAATTAATTTTTAAAAACATAAAGCAATATATCAATAAATTTTACTTAGAAATCACAAAAAACTATAAAATTTAACAAACTATGTAATGTCTTTAATACCTGTCTTCTTACTAAATTTTAAAAAATCCTTGTTTAATTTCTTTTTAATTAATTACCTGTTTAACAATGTTATACATAGGAGCAACACTACTCGTCGGGTATTCCTCATTGTATACGTACAAGTATCCGCTTTGATGTGAAGCCACAAACTGTTGAGGGTATCCAGGAATCCATTTGATACAAGTGACAGCCGATTTTTCAATTAGTCTTTCCTCATTGTATAGTTTACTGGTCGGATACTCTTTTTGAAATGGATCAACCAGCTGAATTTGACCAGCACTAAAACCGACTACAAGATGACACCGGGTTGAGGTTAGAGTTTCTTGATTAAAATCATGACACGTCGGAAACGTTCCCTTATATATTCGCTTGTCCAACGGTTTTGACCAGTCTAACGTGCCACTGAGGTTTCTGAAACATTACTTTAGAAAAAAATATTGAGCTTATCAAGCCTCACTATCAGTATGATAACATATATATATATAAGTCTAGTACTCTATGCGGTATATCTTTCGTTTGTCAAACCTTTTTGTTGTATAAAGGTCTTACCTAAAACTTAAAACGCAAACATTAAAACACCTACTCAAAATCATAAACAAAAAGCTCTCGTCCGATGTTGAAAGCAATCCTTTCAACTACATGAGATTCGTCATCTGGAATACTAGCACATTCACCTTGAATACTGGTTTCTGCCTGTTCGATTGGAATGGATTGTGGTACTCGAATGAAAGATACTCGTACTGGAGCGTTGCATCCCGTATTCCCGTTTTGAAGCTGAAAAACAACTTGTAAAGCATCAAATTTAGTTTTATTTATCTTAAAACAAGTAAAACGAACGAAAAATTCATGTTTAGTTCAACGAAACCTCTTAGATTTATAATATCCATACCTACCTGTGTCATGTTTACCCTATTTTTAGCCGGTTGATCGGCCACTGTCATCTGTCGATACGTCCCTTCCCGTGTCGTAAAATGAGTCTTGATTAAGTCCTTTTGACCAGAAACTATAGTAGTTTCGAGCACCGGTGTTGCGTGATTCAAAAGATTCTGCGACGACGAACCTGACAATGGAGATGGACTGGCTACGCTCAACGGCGACACGGATGAACCAGAAAACAAAGCCGTCGACTGTGGGCTCAACGAAGACGTTGCCGCACCGTACACGCCAACACCTGCGCGCATTCTCCGGCTTCACCAGCCCTGAAGAGAAATATTATCCATCACGTTATAATTTGAAAGATTTAATAATGAAAATGAATTCTATAGAAACCCTGTTTTTTTTCAGTTATGTACCTAAACTCCTGGCTTTTTAAAATGCGTAAAATATTGGATTCGATAAGCTGTTTATCAATTTACAATACTTTAAGAACTTAAACCCACACCTAAAGCATATTCATCAATAAAGCTTTTAAAAAATTTTACATTCTCCAAAAACACTACCTCACATTCAAAAAAAAACTCCTTCAACTATTCAATAACCTAAACTTCAATAACCAAACAAAATACACTTACCGGGCTTTAGTTTTCGCCGCAGATTCGACGAAAACTTGGAACTACGGCCAGCTTAATCCCTTTAATGTTAGAACTATCAAAAATAATGTGTTTTGCTCCGGAAGATAGTTTAATTATAATATTTAGCGAGTTATTGTAGTAGCCGGAAGCTGGGATGAAAGAAGGAGCTTAACTTTGCTTTTTTTTAGCCGAAAATTTACAAAAATTTGAGAAAATGCGTCATGGTAACGTCGTTTTTCGTAAAAATTTTAGTTTTTATATTATTTTCCAAAAGCTATAATATTTTAACAATTACAGTAAAAATATATCTTTGCTTCCATTTTAAAAAACATTGTAAAATTGGCGTTAGATAGGTATGTTATGACAGATTTTTTGGACGAATTTTCCTTTTTATTTGTAAAATCGATGACCAGCAAGCTGCGTCCACAATAACCAATTTATTTTTTGTAAAAATTATAAAACTACTATCTTTACAACTTTTTAGTTACAGTTCAATGTATAGCTCTTCAAAATATTTAATTGCAGTGGCTATTTTATCCGATAAGCTGTAAAAAACTGCGCGATTCACCTATTTTTTGGGGGTTTTCATTTTTCCTTGTAGATTTATTTACGTTTTTGTTTAGAAAAATTGTAAATTTTTTGTGAAACGAATTTACTCTATTTTTTATTGACCTGTTTGATTAAGTAGTGCAGGCAGTTTTTTATGGGCAGTATAGATATTAATTTGTTTAATTTTGTAAGTCTTAGTCTCAAAATGACAACACGATTGGCAGAACCATTGGAAACACCCGAAATTGTTGAGAAACGACAGAAAACTGAAGAATCAGAGAATTCAAAGTCTTATGGAGCAGATCAGCAAGGGACCTCAAAAGGAAATTCTCCAGATGAGAAAACAGTGGAAGCAGATCCAGATGATGGATTCGTTTCAAAGCTGGCCGAGTACGAGGAAATGTTTAAAGACAGGTAATTCTTACTGAATGGGTACCATAAACGTATGGTTCTTGTAGAAGGGAGGTGAACTTACTGACCGAAATTTTATGCAAAAATTTGATATTGTAACCTCTTTTTTGGATTATGATTTAAATTTTCAAATTTTAGATACACGGAAAACGACCCAGACTACTTATACCGGGTAAATCAGCAGTTGGAACCCATAGTAATGCCAAATTGGAACCCACCAAGGCAATTCTACCGCCGAAACGGAAACAACTGGAGAGGGAATGGTAAATTTTTATTTTTTAATTTAATTTTTAGGGTTTATATCGCATCTTTTGTTATACATTCGAAAACAAGATATATTCTCTGTACATATGTTGCTTTTTGTTTTTTGAAGTAATGCTTGTTTTTCTTAGGCAATCCCCGAGGCGGTGGTAGAGACAATTACCAACGGAATTGGGACCAGAACCGAGGTAACCATTCAGGGCGCGGGTATGGTCGGGATTTTCACGACAGGAGGCGGTAAATTATTAAATGACAACATTTACTTGATAATCTCACTCAATTGTTAACAATAATATTTGTTGGTGAATTTAAACGCATTAAAATGTTATTTTAACACGAGCTATACCTCACTTTTAAGCTTTAGGATTTTAAAAATGCCGGCAAAATGCACTATTATTTTCTTTTTAATAACTAAATATAGGTTCAGACAGGGACGTCGCTACGGTTTTTTCTCTGGGGGGGGGGAGGTCGAAAAATTTTTTTTTGGTCCACAGGTTTTTTTTCGTTTTTCCGCGTACAGGTACCTACCTGTGGATTTTTTTTCGGATAATTTATTTTTGAACAAAAAAGTAAAGAAATGACAACCAGGTCACACTATCGTTCACCAATAGTGCAACTAATTCAAAAATTACATTAACAATAAAAAACAAAAATAGTTGAGGCAGCTATAGCAAAAGCTAACACTGTCTTAACCACAACTACGGTTTAACATGGTAATGTAATAATTAAGATTTACTGAAAAACTCCGAAAACATTAGCTTAACAGTATCATAACAATGTTCAACAACTTTACAATGGGGTTTCGCGTTCAGTTGGAACCTGGGCCGATTGTCCGGCCGACTCTGAGATGAACAACTTAGAGATGGTTTCAGCCGTCGTCTTGGCTGTGTAGTTTGCGTAGGCATCGGTGTCGGCGGCGTTCAAGAACAACTCCAACATACCGTTCTTGGTCTGTAGTTGGGGTTGTTTTTGTTGACGTTTAAGGTCTTCGACTGACAAACGAGGTTCACCACGAGCTGCTCGGGCTTCGTTTTCAATTTGGCGCTTCTAAATTTAAAGATTAAAGTTTTGGCGCCTTTTTAAAAATGAGTGAAATACCTCAATATTATTCAAGGAAATCATATACTTATGCTCTTTTCTATCCCAAACCTTAATTGACATCTAAAACCATAAAAATAATATAGACTTCAAATTTACCTGAATAAGCGAGTTCAATACGGCGTCGTAACGTTGTTTCTCCAAGGTGTACTTGTTGTAAGCAGTGATAGACTTGTTCAACTCCTCGACATTACTAACCATAGCTCTCAAAGTCTTCTCCAGACTTCCTCTAGTTCCCAATTCAAGGTGAGGAGCTGATTTCTTTGGATGGATAAGCTTAAGTTCGGCTAACATAACATTCATCAAATGCGAGTTCTTGATGAAGATTGGGAGTTCTTCCAGCAGGTTCGAGTACGTTACTCCGGAATTCTTCAAACTAAAAATTAAAAGGTAACTTGTGTCTAAACTAATATTTTAAACTGATAATTACCATAATATAGGTAGAATACTGCAACATGAGACATCATAGCAATAAATAAGATGTTATCAATAATATTACTTACGCTTCAGGCGAGAAATCAGTGTTTTGATAAAGGTCGAAAGCTTTTGGTGTTAATCTCAAAGCACGAATGGCCAATCGTCCTTGGCGTGTTGATACTGGGTCTAAAATAAGGTAAATTACATTATGATAGCGATAAAGTATAATTTAAAAAGAAAGGACCTAGTATAAGGTCAAACGTACCATAAACTAGAATAACGCCATCGAACAAACTGTCTTGGTAATCAAACAAACTCTCGACCATCTCTTGACTATAACAAGCCCCAAACAAATGAGACTGGTAGAAGCCGACAAGTTCGTAATCAATGTTCATCCGTCTAAAACATTCATTGTGATCATAATATTAGTAAAAAACGCTATAATAAGAAGATCAGCAAAACATCAATACATTTTTTTACCCTAAAACATGTAAAACAAGATAACTGTTACCTAAATCTCCTCAACATGTCCATAATCTCGTTTTGTTTGTCCTCAACACTGTGCGAGTTGGGTTGACCATTATCATCAGCATCCATCAAGAGCTCGGGACGTGGAGTGGGGAAGCAGTTCGTGATTTCAAGTCTTCTGTCTTCAGCAGAGATCAAACCGGTCAAAATACCTTGACAAGCTTCTCCTGCCACTTCAGACATGCCTGAGTAGAATTCCGAATCCACATGCTTCACGAGCTTCATAACAACCTAAATATTGAACATAAAAAGCAATAAAGATAATAAACTTACCAAACTGTCGATTTGAACAACATCAACTTGAGGTTCATGTAAGGGCATAACTTCTGGAGGTGGAGCAGCCTAAAATTGATGTAAATACTTTTTTTGTCAAAAGATTACAAGAAAAATATCTAAATTGTTAAAGAAACATCCGCAAAATACATAAAAAAAGAAGTTCTAAAAAAAGTTATGCATCACTTTTGGGCATAAGGTTAAAACTACGCCAAGGAAAACCACAATTTCCTCAACAACCAAATAATAGAATACTAATTACCAATATAAACTATAACATACCATGATTGTTTTGTTGTTTCAAGAATGTAGAATAAAAACGCTTGGTTGTTAGGAAAATAACAACGTTGTCCAACAAAAATGTTGGAAGAATAAAAGGAAAAAATTTTATTTCTCCTAAATTATTTGTTTGAACTGGTACTGAGTCCCGACACGAAAACAAAAAATAACGTTAATTGCGTACGAAATGGACATTAATCAATCTGGATAACAAATTTTTGAAGATAAATGAAATATTGAAGTTAGCAGTAACAAAAAATCTAAAATTTTTTCAAAAATGTTTTAATATTTTTTTTTAAATTTCAGTTTAAATATCAAAAATTTAGATTATTAAATTCAAGAAAATATGGGTTTTTAGAAACAGAACGAATAACAAGACAGTCACAAATTTTATTTTTTAATAATAATGTAGATTTTAAAAATATTAGTTTATGTTGTAAATTAAAAATGTTCACTTGTAGGAAAAAGTGAACAAGTATACCTAGTTATGCCTTGGATTTTTAATCTAGTTTTAATTGTATTACAATTAGGCTAAAATTTATTTCTTTAATTTAAATTTTGTACTTTGTGCTCTACAAATAACGTACTATTTTCCCGCCAAATCTTTTAAAAACTCAATTTTCGATGTATGTTGTCTCCATTTATCTCACGCTCTTTCCTTCGAAAGAGCAGAAATTTAAAAGCGAGCCGGCTTTTAAGAATGACGAATTTTTTGGGGTTTAATAAGATGCGCGAGCTTTTTTGATTACTTCTACAATATTTTGGTTAAACAGTTTTAAAATTATGATTTTTAAGGGTAATTTGAAAAATGGGTTTTTCGTTTTAAAAATAGTGTTTCTTTTAGGTTATAAAGGCGTTCGCAATAAGTATTGTTGTTATTTTGTTTACAAGTACAAGATTTTAAATTTTGTGTATGTTCTTAAAATATTCTTTTTGATAGTCGACTACTCTCCTTTACTTGGTTTAATTTAAAATAATAAAACTTTTATTTAAGAAAACACAATTATACAACGAATGTGTACTCAAAAATCACAAAAATTTAGTTTTGAGGTATATTTTGAACACCAAGAGCATAAAAACCACCATTTTCTACTTTGCTGATCAATGACAGCTAATTATAGATCATCAAAATCATTTTCTGTTTTTCCCGAGTTTTCGTTTTGTTTATGCATTTCTGATGACTTTCCTATAGTTTTTAGTCTTGGAAACGAATTCCCTTCAGTCACTTTCTTTTAATTCCATCACAAACAAACTTTTGATTCAGACTACTTTAACATTCTGATGGCATTTAGACTGTTTCTTGCGATTTTGTGTTGTTTTTGTTTTATGGAGGAAAAAATTTGTTAAAAAATGATTTTAAAAAGTTTGGTATAAGTGAAAAAATGTATAAAAATGATTTTTTTTTGGTTTTATAGGGGTACAATTTTAAGGTTTTAAATTTTGATTTTGTCATTGCTAAACTATAAGGTTTCTTTGTATTTTTGCTAAAAGGTATAAAAAAGGTTTAATAAAGTTAGTTTAACCTTTTTGACATAAAACTCGTTCATTTTTATTTTTATTTTGTTTTAGTGTTAATTTTAAAGTAGACACTCAGCTGTTCCTAGCAACCATAGAAATACGCTAGCAAGTTTGTTTAAGAGAGTAATAAACCGTTGTGATGCGTTGTGTTATATTAGTTTAAACGGCGCTAGGACAAATGCGGTTTTTGGACATTTGCGGATCTGCGGTTTTTAGACACTTGCGGATTTTGGACATTTGCGGATTTTTTAAAGGTTTTTTTTACATTTTAGTTAATTTAGTTGTATTATGGTACTAAATTGTACTAAAGTTTGAATTGGTACGGTTTTAACATAACAGTACCTTTTTGGGCTTTTAGTACTATTTAGTACCAAAAATATAAAAACAGTACCGATTAAGAATTTAGTACTATTTAACATTAAGAAATATTAAGACAGTGCTAATTTAAACTTTAGTACCGTTTAGTACCATACTACAAATAAATTAACTAAAAAATAAAAAAAAACCCCTTTAAAAAATCCGCAAATGTTCAAAATCCGCAAGTGTCTAAAAACCGCAGATCCGCAAATGTCTAAAAACCGCATTTGTCCTTGCGCCGTTTAAACGAATACAAAAATAATATGTTGCTCAAATAATTCTGTGCCTCCTAGCCCTAAAGATTTCTCTTGAGAGGAGACACATAACTATATGAACAACAGAATACCACTTTTGGTCATCTTATAGCTTTTAGTGGCTGTCAGTGTTGACAAGAGGTGAGGTGTTTGGTGGTGGTGATAAGAGGTTAAAAGTGGAGGTGACTAACAATTTTTAATTTCCTTGACGTTCAATTTTTTAAAAACTGTAGTTTTGGTTGCGGAGTAGTTTTGTAAGTTGATTTCGTACAAATTATGGCACAAAAAGGCAGGGGTACATTTTTTTATTTTTTGAAGTGAAGCTGGGGATAGAGGGAGGGGGAGGAAAGGAACATTTTTAAGGGAAGGTGTTTTTTGTACCTTTTTGAGGATATGTTATTTTATCGTTCCTTTGACAGCATAGCAACACCCTTTCTACAGTACAAAACTAATTGTAAATCATTTTCGGACAAATGTCCTTTGTGTAGTACTGCAATGCAATGCCGCAATGGCTCGTCGTTACCTTCAGACACTATTACATAGGTTGTCTCTTCGTCAAAAAATAGGACTAATACTACTTTTAATTTTACTTTATGAAGAATACTACTACAGTAAGCTTTACTTGGAATATAGAAAGTTTTATGTTGGAACATATCACAGGAACATTGTTATTGATAGAGAGAGTTATGGAAGTAGGTTTTTTAAATCTTATGTAAATGTTAGAAGTTTAAAAAGTTTTGTCGCTCTTTAATGTGCAAAACACTATTAAAGAACGACAAGACTTTTTATGCTTTTGAAAAGAATTTCTTAGTGTCATAATGTACTTAAAACGTATAAATTAATAACTTTTACAGAACAAGTAACGTATAAATTAATAACTTTTACAGAACAAGACGTGCACCTAATAGTGATTGAAGCCAATTATGAATATACCTCAGAATACGTATTACCTCAAGCGACTTTGAAATGTTACACTGCATATCATAACTACACTTTGGTTAATATTAACTTGGTAAAAGATGTACAATATGCTAATAAATGTCCTGGTAATGATGTAAGTTTGAATAGAAGGAAGAAAAACCATTAGGTTTTTCAAATAATCCTGTGCCCCTTTTAAAGAAAATTTTTGGTTTAAGGGGCACATAATTATTTAAACAAACTATTACTTTTACATTAGGGGGTGGACGGGGGGTACTCCCCCCCTCCCCCCCAGAAAAAAATTTTCAAAAAAAGTTGAACGTGGTCCCCTCCAAGTTCAACTTTACGGATTTTTCGAAAAAATTTTTTCGCAAAAAATCGGCACAGGTAGGACCCCCGCCCCCAGACCAAAAGTCCCCGCCCGGCACTGTACCAGCCTTTTTTGACATTTTAAACTTACTTGTAGGTATAGCAGTTCTTCTTTAAAATATAGCTTAGAAATTTCTTGAAATAAAAAAATATTCTAATTTTAAAAAATCGTTTTAAAATTCGCCTTTACAGTTCATGTTCCGACGTCATTGTGTACTGGCCCAATACATGGCCGAACACCCAACTGTGCCTTGGATATTGGCACTGGATGCCGATATGGGAGTAATAAATCCTAATCGACTGGTCGAAGAATACTTGAAAACAAAAAATGACATCGTATTTTATGATCGCTTATTCAACTACGAAATCATGGCTGGGTCTTTCATTTTGAAAAATAATGCTTTTTCGAGGGGATTTTTGATGGATTGGTACTCTTATGACAATAAGGTACCGAACAGCTATCATGGCACTGATAATGGGGCTATCCATGTGAGTTTTTTTTATAAAAACAGATTCTTTCTGCTGTTTTGTTACCTAAAAACCAATTTTAGAAGGTCCTACTAGACAAGTTCGCTCCAGAATCGCTAAATAATGAAGCCAAGTTGTGTATGCAAATTTGGAATTCATCAAAAGATTATGAAGACTTGTTTACTTTCGAATCCTGTGTTAGGCAGATACTTGGAAACCGAAAAGCTTTCAAAAATAACGAGGGTTCAGTTGAAATTAGATCAAATCTACGTGAATATTGGACTAGAGATGGCTGGCAAACAGACAATATGTGGAGTGATAACGACTTTTTGCTACATGGATGGCAGGAGAAGTAAGAATGGGATTATTATTAGGTTGTTCAATTAATTATGTGCCCATCTCAAAGCAAATTTTCTGGGTTGGGAGCACAGAATTATGGGAACAATCTAATACCAAAAAAGTCTTGTATTACTTATTAAAAAGTCAGAAAAGTCCTGTCGTTAATTTGTATGTGTTTGTAAGTTGAGAAAAGACAAGACTTTTTAGTTGACCAAAAATTGTTTCAAACTTTAAAACTATTTAAAATTTTTGGAAGTAAAATTTTATTGTAGCAAAGTATCACGATAGTATGACGTTTGTGTACCAATGTAAGCATATAAACATAATTTTTAAATTTCAGACGCCGCTACCGCATCCACTACTGGGCATGGTGGGTATCTCCTTTCGCCAGAGAAGATGGTTTTCAAAACTGCGGTGACAAATCCAAAAATGCTGGACAAAATTGGATATACAAAAAATATACTTATCGACCGGTCGAGGAAATTCAAGAAAGGTTGTTGAATGTCGCGGAAGAATCTTACTTAGGGTATTTAAAACGTCTGGAGAAGATAACTGAGCTCAGGAAGCATTTGTCGTAAAAGCGGGAGGAAATTATTATGATATTGTTTCTAGTGCTTTAAATTTGAAGTTTTTGTAGTGAAATATTGTGACAAGGTATTATTGCGGTAAACTAGTCACACATGTAGGTCTCGATGTTTTTGGGTACTTTTCAAAAACTGCATTTGTCTAAAGCTTACTTATGTATATTTTACTTGTTATCTATCTCCTACATTTCTACTTTGTGCCATATTCGGGTTTCTTATATTGTTATACATATATTAGATTAACTTTTTGTGCCAAAAAAGCCTTATTAATAAATGTTACCTTATTAAAATAGTCGTTATTCTGTAACAGATTATTATACCCAAATTTATTCTACTCTGCTCAATTCATCTTTACCCTACCGTGCCCTACTTTAACGTAACCATCCTACCCTACTTTACAAAGCCCTACTTTACTCTGCCATACTCTACCCCATCCTACCCTACCCTTCAATACCCATCCAAAGACACGAGAATATTTAGAAAAAAAATAAAAAAATTCTCTGCTCTACACCTCCTATTCATCAACTTTATCCACCAAACATCCTAGACCTAATTACTGGTTCAACCGTGTTTATTTACAATTCAGCGTCGGGATTCTCATTGTTTTCGTCTTCTGTTTCGACGTCTTCCAGTTCGTATAATTTGCACGCATCTTCATTTATGACCACGTTCTTGGGCGGTTGTTTCACCGAGTTGCCACGCTTCTCTTCGTGTTCTGAAGGCATGTTCATAATGTCCTTGTTCCGTGCTTCGAATTCATCGCTCACTTTGGTTTCTAGCACTCCCATTCGCTGAACCTTTTTGACGTCACAGATATTCTCATCTGGATTCTCCTCTTCTCCTTCGGTTGTGCCTGTTTCTTTTGTTTTCGCTTTCTTTTCATCTTCTTGTGTTGGTTTCGTTCCCACTTTGTCTTCCTTCTTTTCGACTGATTTTGTTGTTACTTTCCTAAACCAAAGTATAAAACATGTAGAATAACATACGTTTCCTTGAAACAATTCATTTTATTACTAAGTCAACAAAACGTATTTTTAATTCGTTATGTTACCTAAAAACCTACTTAAACTAAAAATATCCAAATTTAGGTATAATAACTTACCCAGTACTAGGTTTCTTGTCTTTTTCCTTTGAACTTGTTTTCTCTGGTTTTGCTTCTTCTTTCTTTGCTTCTTTTTCCTTTTCTTTTCCTTTCTCCTTTTCCTTTTTGCTATTTGAAGATGGCTTTTCTTTTACACTTGCGGGCTTGTTTTCTTTAGCTGGAGCTTCTTTGGCTGGTGTGGAAGACTTTGGAGGCTGTTGTAATTGCGGTGATGGCTCGGATTTCTGAAAATAAGTAAAAGAACATGAGTTTAACGACTACATTTACAAAAGGTTAAGCAAAACCCAAATGAAAGATGCCAAAAACAGTTGAAAAATTAAGGAATACTGTTGGAAAACAAAAAAAAATATTTGAAAATCGTTAAAAAATCTTATTTAATCATTAAAACACCTTCAAATACCATCAAAAGCTGAAAACAAACCATAATTATCAATGTAAACCTACCTTTGCAGCTGAAGTTTCCGCAGTGTGAGTATCTTTGCATGTCTTAACACTTTTACTTGGCTTCAGTTTCTCTGATTTTTTAGAAGCTGCTCGTAATTGTTTCTTCGTACTATTGTTCTTCCCCGTACAAACAAACAATATCACCGACAATAACATTGGCACCACCATTAACATTAACAGATCTCGGATCATTATCAAAACGCCAAATTAGTCGGTGATTTCCACAAAACTTGAGTCTTCAGTCGATGTTGAATTCGATTCAGTCAAGAAGAATGAATTTTAGAACGTTAGAATTCAGATGTCAAGTCCACGGTACGCTGTAGTCGATGAGGGTCGTTGATTGATAAGTGTGATCGATGTAGTCGTTGATCAAAAGTTACCAATGTTCCTGAGGTTTTGGTTAGATTGACAGAATATGCCAACAAGCGAACAGATAGATACAGCACTGAAGCAAATTACGCTAAGAAACGACCGCTCGTCCGGTCTTATGGTGATCAATTTGAGAATAAAGTCTAAGTTATTTTGAAGTTCCATGATTTTCCTAAAAATATTCCTTGAATATGAGAAAAATATTTACGTAAAATAAACTAACAAGAAAGACTTCTAAACTTTATTATCTTTCACACAGTTTCTATTTTTAAAACTAAAAAAAACAGAAAGACGTTTCATCGTATAAAATATTCTTGCGACCTGCGAACCAATAATCCTCTATTTTTCGGCCGCAGTCTGCGTGATAATTAAATGGGATTTTTTTTACAAAACACAATTGATCTCAAAGTTGACTAGTTGTTTTGCAATAAGTTTTTCCAACATTATCGTTTTAAAATCAACTGATTAGCTCGAAGATACTTATCAATATTGTTTTCAGCAAAATGGACCAACTTTTGGACTTGGAACAACTCAACAAACTGACTCCAGATCAACAGGAGAAGGTAATTCAAGGAGTTCGTCAACAAGCTGCCATCGTGCATGCTCAAAGCTTGATATCTGTAAGTTTTTATATTTGTTTTTCTGGTTTAGGAGCCATAAATCATTGAGAAAGGGCTTGGATTTATTTTGCCCGTTTTGATGAGTAGAAGAAACGTAAATATATTCAGTTCCTGAACGAATACCTTCAAATAACTAGCTGACTACTGACGTGTAATTATTATAACTTTAGGATTTGTCAGATAAATGTATTGCCAAGTGTATTCCAACACCTGGCAGCTCGTTATCAGGATCCGAAAAACAATGCCTTCAAAGATGTATGGACAGGTTCGTGGAAAGCTGGAATCTAGTCTCACAAACTCTCCAGAAGCGTCTCCAAGCAGAGTTGGCGGCTAATCATGGTCAAACTAGCTTTGGGTCTGGTGGCTACGGAGAAGGACCTTCATTCTCGTAAGATTTCAAACTTTTATATTGTAATAGATCATCTTGTTTTTGTTGGAAATATTACTTTAAATAAAGCGCTTAGATGTTCAGATTATAGTTTTTAAGGTACTTGACTTTGTTTGTTAATATAGTCAAGATTGTTTTGAGATTTCTTAGTTTTATTGAAAGAAACTATTGTTGAGTGCTCAACCTTCATCAATATAGCCCAAAATAAAGCTTTTCAAATATTATTTACATTCTCACCCAAATAATTATGTCAAAGTGAAGCAAAACATAAATTATTAAAAACAGTTAGGTATTTTGATCGGGAGAAAGTTGATCCATGAAAGTGTCGACTTTTTGTTTGAGATGTTGCACAGCATCGCGATCCACCAGAATGTGAGTATCGTCCAATTGTTTGATGATGAATTTGTACGATAACTCTTGGGTTTTGTCCATGTGCCGGATTAATTGTAACATGGCCGGATCACAGGTAATGAGGGTGGCCATTTTGACGTTAACCATGGCGATTTGAGGTCTAAACTTATATTATTAAAGCATATTAAAATCTTAACAATATGTGAACAAAATAGTAAAAATTTTTAACATTATGAACTATAATATAATTGTGAGTTACTTTTTTAACGAAAAATATTATTTCTATTTATTTTGGCTTTCTGGTGCAAATCTTTGTTTTCGTGGCGGGAGTCCAATAAATATCTAACGGGGACATGATCAAGCCGGGGACATGATCAAGCCGGGCACATGATCATGCCTGGGAGATGATCAAGCTGGGGACATGCTCGAGCCGGGGGCACCATCAAGCCGGGGGCACCATCAAGCCGGGGACATGATCCAGCTTGGGAAATGGTCGACGGGAACATAATCAAGCCTGGGCCCGATTTCACGTCAAATTCGTTTTCAGACATTTTTGAATAGCAATTGACAATGTGAGGAATTCTCATGTTTACGCAAATTTTAACACAAAAAAAATTGTTTTACGAAGTATGCAAATTTTTAAAAAATTTTGCAACGAGTCCTTTTCGAAAATGGCTATTTGCTACTCAATACATTGTTCTGGTTGGCGGTTCTTAACGAACGCTTTGTTACTGTCGCGGTAAGTCGTAAAACATCGTTTTGTCATTCTTGGTTTGAATTTACATCTTACCTCCTTTACCTATCATAAAATACACCTTGTTTCTTTGACTAGTCATAAAATACACTTTGTTTCAGATCGTCGATCGCTGATCATTTTGTAAAACGAAGTGAGATTGTCTACAAGCAATCATGCATCGAAGCGGCAGCAAGGGCAACAAGCGTGATGGGAAAAAAGACCGCGACAGCGACGATACCAGTACCAAATCAGTCAAGTCGAGCAAGGAGCCACGTCGTCGCAAGAACAAATCGTCGGTGGATGGCGCTAAAAGCGAGACAACAAGTAAGCTTGAAAGAAGGAGAAAGCCCAAAGCCAAGGGCAGTACTGTTGCCTCGTCGCCTAACGTGAGTTTTTGTGCAGTTCAGGGGGTGGTAAATCTGTAAACTTGAAGTTTTTGTTATTTTTGAAGACTCAGATTTTTAGCAAGGTGATCCCTTCGTCCGAGCATTAGCCCAGTTTTGCCATCAAACTGTCAAACTGAGCCCAAAACATATGGCCAAAGAGTTCACTGAAACGAGACAACGAATGCCAAAAACATTGCCGAAAACCGCATTTTTGGCGAATCCTCAGAAGAATCGCTACAAGGACGTGTACTGCTTGGACGAACATCGCGTTAAATTGACATGGCCAGCAGATGATCATAACGACTACATTCACGCTAACTACATTCCTGTCGATGGTGAGTTTGGGTTGGTGAATGCATCATTTTTATTCTTATTTTTTGCGTAATTTTAGAATTTAAATTTTGTCTTTTTAAAACTCTGACGTTTCAGGTAGTGTAAGATACATTTGTACCCAAGGCCCCACCGAAAAAACCGTAAACGACTTTTGGCGAATGATGTGGCAGGAAAAGTGCAAGGGGATTCTGATGCTGACTGAAGTGATGGAGCATAACAAGAAGAAGTGCGAGCAGTATTGGCCGCTGAATGAAGGTGACGAAGAAGAGTACGGTCAAGTCAGGGTAAAGGCGACGAAACTTCTCGAACTGGAAGAGAACCTTCTCTTGACACATTTGGACGTTTCGGCCGATGGGGGAAATCTTCAAGTTCAACACATTTTGTGGAAAAACTGGCCAGATCGAGGCGTGCCGAAGGAGTACTCAAGCTGTCTTCACATGATCAAGATGATCACACCCATCATCCCGATCGTCGTTCATTGTTCAGCCGGCATTGGCCGTACTGGCACGATTGTGGGGCTGGAGATGCTGATATGTCGATTGAAGAAGGGGGAGGTTTGTACGATCACCGAGATTGTAGCCGAGATGAGGCAGTTCAGGCATGGGTCGGTTCAGACAGCTGAACAGGTAAGTTTTTTAGGTACCATAATATGTAGTCTTTAGGTATGAAAATGCCGAATATTCTTTATAATATGTTACTTTCAGTTCTTGTACATGCATCGAGTAATCATGGAATTGGCCGTAGCCAAACACGCATACCCAAAAGAAGACCTGAAGGCGTTCTTCGATGAATACGATCTCGTTGTCAACCCTCATGGATGAAACATGTATATCAGATTAATGCTTGCGAATAAAATAGTTTAATTTGGATAATTATTGTTATTTTTATTCAAAAATTGATTTGGGTACTATAAAATGTTAAGTGGATAACATTTCATCTACTGTAACATGTTGTAGGTATAGCATTTTTTTACATTTAATAGCCAATTTTTTTGAGTGTCAAGAACTTTCGAAACCTAAATCAAGTTGTTTTACGTCCCGAAACTTAAAGTTTCCATGGAATTCCTCAATCCTTTACTTCGTATTTTAAAATTTGTAATTGATTGATATTGGCATTCCGTTGCAATCAATTTTTCCTGCGATTTCTTCATTTTTTCTGCAAATTCGACCGAATTTCATCGTTCTTCGTTGTCTAAATTACGATGCTTGCTAATCGTGACGAAAATGTGAGCCCACCATTGGGTTATCGGATGTTATTGGAAGCGAAACGTCGACATGAACAACAACAAGGTGGTTTCTACAAGAGTCGCTCATTTATTCCGCGGCAAAAGCAATTCTCGAAGAAGATTCAATTTCCCACGTTGAAGAATGGTCCTCTACTTCAATTTGTGGTCTATTATACTAATAGAGTTGTTGTTCAAGGAAACAAAGTTGTTTTTCAGCACAGCAGTCCAAAGACGATCAGACTTATCGTAAGTTGACATGGTTAATATCGAAAATGCTTTATTTTTCTTATAAATTATTAATTTTTGGTTTCAGCGACTCGCAAAACGAACTCGCGACATTCTTTTCAAGAGAGTTACCAGTTGCGAGTTCAAGTTGAACAATTTTGACAATCAGGAGATCTACTTCGACATTACTCGTTATGATGGAGAAAGCGTCAGAATTAGGTAATATTTTATGTTCGTTTGTGTTTTTTTGTTTAGGTTTATGAATAGCAGGCCGAGGAGCAAAATATTTTGGTTTAAAGTGTTATAATTTAATTTTCTAAGTTACCCATGGCTTTTCTAGAGTACCTGCACTCGCACCTGATCTTCTTGGCTTCAAAGACGTAGTAACTCATCTAAGGTTGCCGTTTGACTTCATCCACATTTCAAAGAACAAACGTTTTAAAGGTAAGAGTTTTTTTAGTTTAACTTTGGTTTTTATAGCTAGCTATAGCTCTTTGCATTACACTGGACTATTTTTGGTATTTTTTTCGAATTTCTACCAATTTTGTCGTTTTTAAGTTTTATATTGGGGTTTTTTTTTAAATTTTATAACGGTTATTGGCATTTTTTTTAAAATTAATGTACAATACAGACTAAACTGTTTTGCTATCAAATCACACCAATATTTTTTTCAGTTCTGGATGACATCAAAACTCAATTTGACTTCTGTTATCATCACATGCTTGCCAAATCACGCAGTTTGCAGTCGATTTCCTGTGACATCCACACCTTTCAAAACAATCACCAAGTCATTTGCGAATCTGCAGCTAAGAAGTTGACACTTACTTTCGATAGAATGCTCGATTTTCCTGGTTTGGCCAATTTGGGGTGAGTAGCGTTGATTTCTTTACGTTATACAGTGAAGAAAATTTTACTTTTATCTACTTTTTGACATGATGAAGCCACATATTAATGTGGTACCTTTTTCTAAACTAAACCTTGCAGCATCTACAACAAGATCCAAAAGCTGGAGTTGTTCTGTGACATTAACGATGTCATCAAATACGATGGATTGTTCAAACGCATCTTCCAATGTATGAAGGCGTTGAAGATTGTCTACATGGAGCCAAGAATGGATGTCTTCTCTAGAATTTCCGAAGCCGACAAATGGGTCTTTCTGATTCAATTCTGCCGATGTTATCCTTTCCTCAAGTACAACATCAGATTCAACAAACCGAATGGCATCGATTTTTTGAAGAGAAATCAGTTCAAGAAGATGGAGACTGGCGAAGACCTGATCGAATTCTACAAGCGAAGCAACATCGAGATGGTGTTTGATATGCGAAAGATTGGTCCACCTCCAGAATACTTTGCTTTTCCCACGATGGACGACTTCTGATCAGTTGTGATAGGAAATTGGTCCGAATATTGTCATGGTTTATATTCTCGGTTTTTGCTTAAAAATTTTAATTTTGTGATACAGTTCGGTTGAGAATGATATTGTATATCCTTAATAACATTGCTTATTGTATATTAGTTGAATATCCTTTTTTTACATTATTGTTGTTTATGCTTTCATTCTTTTATATCCTACGTCTTTAACTCTTGATAACATAATCTGTATATCATTGTGTATCGTATTTTGGCAATGTTATAGCCATGTATATGTTTTGTAATTGTATTTTGGTTTATATTGTCATGCTTTTTTCGTGAAGCTCTTTAATTCACACTTTTTTGAATTTGTAATTTTCACAGTTTTTATATTGTAATTGTCATACTTTTATAAAATCTCAAAAAAATAATATTCTTTTGCTAATTTTTATAAAAATATTTATAATTCCGATTTTTTGCATAATAATCTTTTTTTCTTATATGTTAATTGAAAAAACCAACTTTTGTAATATTGTTTTGAAATTGTAAAAACGCCTTGATATTGCCCTGAAAAATGTAAATTGCTTTCTTAATAATAATTGTTTACACTCCTAATACACATTCTTGGGCTTTAATAAATTCTTTTGTTAAACTTTAATTTTTTTTGTTGTAAAATGGTAAAATTGCCAGTTTTATGAAATTAAAGGTGAATAAGTAACCTTCTATTACCTTTGAATTGTTTTAATGACTTCACTAGTCAAAATCCACAATTCTCTATGTTACAGTAACCAACACGGAACTGGTGTTGCTTTTAAAACGGTGGAAAGTTTTATGCCACTTTAACCTTCGAGAAACACTCCGCCTACCCAAAACATCGTAATTTTTGTTTTTTTCTTGAAATTTAAATTATGTGAATTTTCGGCCCAAATCCGATGGAACGGCAAGCAAATCGAAATTGTGGGAAAATTCAAACTTGGCACGAGTTCAACATACGAATTTCGAAAAACTTCCAACTTTTGTGGGTACGTTTGACTTCTAAATTTGGGCGACTTTAGTACAACTTTAGTTTTATTGAATGGGTGAGGAAGATTTAGTACGAATTAAAGATTATAGCCGGGGTGGAATTGAGGGCAGGACATAGGAAATATTTTTAAAATTTGGTGATTTACCGGACATGGTGTATATGTTCTGTGCAATTAATATGGTGTGTAAAATTGTGCAGAGAGAGAGGGATTTCTTATATTTTTGGTGTAGGTATCAAGAGAAGCCTGTATATTACTAGTGTTCATGCATCTAGCCCCACTGGTCTGATGGACCTAAAAGGTCATTGTTACAGTATTATTATGTTTGCTTGCCGAACCTTGAACTTGAGTCCCTGAGGCGAAGAAAGAGTAGGGTAAGGAGGGTTTTCCAAACCAACCGTCTTTTGGTCAGCTGGTGCAAATTGGGAGTAATAAAATTTTGAAGTTTGTGGGGGGAAAACGTTTGGGTAACATTTATCTACGAGCTCTTCTTCAAACCGGCGAGCCCAATACTTTATAGGTTTTTGAGTTGTCTTGAACATGTTTAGTGATATATGGTTAATATAAATAGTAAAAAATTTTGTTACAATGACTTACAATTTTGTAGTATGCTTTTGTATATTACTGTAAATTGAAAAACATATAAAAAGTCTTAGCTTAGCCGTAGTCTTATCCTTCGCTTCAGTATCAGCCTTAGCTTTTGTTTTAGTCTAACCTTTAGCTTTAGCTTCGGTTTAGCCGTTGGAATGGTTTTCAAGTATCAAAACAGTTCAAAACTGCTTTTGCAGATTTTCATGTTGTTATTGTTTGTCAAAGCATGTTTTCAAAATTTCAACAAGTAAACCAAGCTCACTTTCAACACACCTAAAATAATCTTTCCCAGCCGTTCGAACGGTTTGCACGTTGCTTTAACCCATTTGGTGCCAAACCTTCTCGGTTTCAAGTCCTCTTCACACTTTCGAGTGTTAACTCGAGGCACAACGTGACAGTCGGTGGTGTCTGAAACTTGTTACATACAGGATTATATTGGTGACATAGCCTAGATTAGGTTACTTAATCCAAGTTTGTTGAATGGGGAAGCAATGTTTTAGATTTTTAAGCTCTGACCTTTTTGTAATTCAATGTTTATGTACCTTGGCAGTAAGAGGATAAAACTTTATAATAAGGCGGCAGTAAGAGGATAAAGCTTTATACAAGGTGGCAGTAAGAGGAAAAGGCATGTTATAGATAGAAGAAAGTGCAGAAGGAAAGTGTAGTTGTAAGTACATGTTACAAGATATATCTCATCAAATAGTGCATATTTTGTAAGTGTGGAAAAGCCAAGTAAGGCAAGCTTTGAAGTTGTAAATAAGATGATAAAAGAGGAAGATATTGTGATGTAGAGTGCAAAAGTATTAAGCTGAAGATTTTGATTCAATTCGTATTGTGGGCCTTTAAAAGATCTTGTAGTGTGTGCCATTAAACATTAATTTAATTTAGTTATATTTTAAAAAATAATTTTGTAAAATCTTAAAAAGTCCAGATATTAATTGTGGGATCGGCTTGGGCTATGGTAGTGATACTAGAACACGATAGGCAAAAGTAGGGCTAGGGCAGGAACAGACTAAGTTGAGAATGAAACATGAGTGTTTCATTAGGTTAAAGGTAAAGTTCGAGCCAAAGATGGGGCTAAGGTTAGGCTTAGGCAAGGGCTAGAGCTAAAAATAGGGCTGAAGAGAGAGATAGGGCTAGGGCTAAGACTAAGTTTAAGGTTAAAATAAAGGTTAAGTCTAAGGCTAAGTTTAAGTTTAAGGCTAAGTCAAAGGCTAAAGCTAAAGCAAAGGCTATGGCAAAGTCTATGGCAAAAGCTAGGGCTAAAACAAGGGCTTTAAAAACATTCTTCACTTGCTTAATACATGATTGCAGGTACAGTACCAATCTGGTAATATAATACAAACTTTCTAAATTTTGAACAGACTGATCTCCACAACAACTTTATCAAAATTGCACTTTGTTTTAAAGGAATAACAAGCTGGTTTTAAGTTTCTTTTGCTTTGAAATCGATTCATCTTTTTTTTGTTTTTACGATAATAATTGTTATGGCCGGAGCAATGAGGGGAAATCCTTTTGAAATCCGATTCTTATGACATTACGTGCTTTACGTTGACATAGGAAAGACACGTAAAATAAACGTTTGGGTTAAGGAAAAAATATTTAGATTTGGGGGAAGTTGCAAAAACTTTCTTTACACTGGTACTGCAATATAATAGTACTGAAAATTGGTTTCCTGGTAGTATAATATTAATTACATAGGTCTTAACTAATTGTAAGCACTATTGTTTACTTTGATTATTCTTTGTTTTCACAGCTGATTAATCATTGTTGATTGATTAATATTCGCAGCCCAAGCCTGACCTTAACAATCCGTCTGGTTCAAAAAAAAGATGAAAGATGTCCGGGTGCTGAGGTCATGCCGGTTTTTTGTGACAAAGTGACGAGTCTAGGTAAAACAAGGTTCATTTGGATTATAAGCGGGTGATAAAAGCTAGCGTGATGTTAGGAAAATTTTGAGGGATTTTCTGGGTAGTCCAGCTTAGTAGTCCCAGCCTTAGCATTAGCTTTAGTTTTAGCTTTAGTTTTAGCTTTAGCCTTAGCTTTAGCCTTAGCCTTAGCTTTAGCCTTAGCTTTAGCCTTAGCTTTAGCCTTAGCTTTAGCCTTAGGTTTAGCCTTAGCTTTAGCCTTAGCTTTAGCCTTAGCTTTAGCCTTAGCTTTAGCCTTAGCTTTAGCCTTAGCTTTAGCCTTAGTCTTAGCCTTAGCCTTAGCCTCAGCCTCAGCTTTAGCACTAACTCTAGTTTTAGTCCGGGCCCTAGCTCCTGTGTCTTAAATTTAGCCATAGCTTCAGCCGCAGCTTTAGTCTTATTTTAAGCTTTAACCATATCTGTGTTTTAGCCTTCGTATTGCCTTGACCCAAGCTACAATAGCCGTTTTAGCAGTATTTTTAGCTCTAATTTTAGCTTTAGTATTCCTTTTTTTAAGTTTATAAAAAAATTGCACACTTCCTCATTCAAACCCCAAAAAACATCTTTGTTATGACGTAGCCACCATCTGCAAACCATGACTTTTTATTATTTTGCAGTTCTGAAGCTCGCCTATATTCCGCATGGTCACATTATTTATGCTGAAACAAAACAAAACTGTGGCGATTAATCAAAATGAAATTAATTTTAGTAAAAAACTTTTCGGACATTGAAACTGCCAGAGGGTCTTCTTATAAATGACTATAGATCCAAACGTTTTTCCGCCATTATATTGGTCCAACGTTTTTTATAAATAGATTTTTGTTCTGATCAAGTGGCAGAGGCAGTGGCAAAAGGACTGGGTGGGAAAACTGTTTGCCTTGAGACGGGGATCTCTTGTCTTAAGGCGGGGAAGTTTTGCCCTGGGAAGGGTAATTTTTTTAAAATTTTAGTGGATTTTAAAAGCTTTTTAAATTTTTGAAGATCAACGGAACATAGTTTATTATATGTTTAAAAATTGTTTTTAAATTTTGTATGGTAAAGGAAGTATTCACATGACAAATTACAAGCTCTGTGCCTGTAACATACGAATGTATAAAGTGTGTCAAGTCTTTAAGCTGATATAGAACTTCCGTTTTTCTTAAATTTCAGCTAATTGGAAGTTGCTTTTAACGACTCGTAACGTCATTATCTTTATTTCGTTCTGCCAGACCAGTTAAAAACTTATGATGCGTGTTGTTTTTTCAAATCATGGCAAAAGTTTTGACTATTTAGCTTTCCGCGAGAAGCTTCCGTATATTAACTGTAGACATTTGTTTTGAAAAAATATTGTAAAGGAAAGGAAAATGATCGTAGCTGAGAGTATATTACGTATTAGGTGGATAAGCTTGAAGGACTGGGGTTAAAACTAACAAGGCAAGGGAAGACTAAAGTAAGGCAAGACAAGATAGGCAAGGCAAGGCAAGGCAAAGCAAAGCAAGGCAAGGCAAGGCAAGGCAAGGCAAGGCAAGGCAAGGCAAGGCAAGGTAAGGTAAGGTAAGGTAAGGTAAGGTAAGGTAAGGTAAGGTAAGGTAAGGTAAGGTAAGGTAAGGTAAGGTAAGGTAAGGTAAGGTAAGGTAAGGTAAGGCAAGGCATGGCGAGGCAAGGCAAGGCAAGTCAAAGGCTAAATCTAGGACTAGAGTTAGGGCTTTGTATAAGGTTTGAATTTTTTCTACTTGTTTTAATTTGGCTGTACGGATAGTGCTAGGTTTGTAATGGAGCTAAAGTTTAGACTTAAATTTTTTTTATTTTTTGTTAACTTTCGTTCTGTTTACTACAGGGTTATTTAAAAAGTAATTACTTACATACAAACAGTAAAATTTTTAATTTTTTTTTATAAAAAAATAAAGAAATGTTACGTTAAAACTTTATTTTTTCTATTTTCTTGTTATAGATTTATCTAAACCTCGACTAATCCGATGTAAAAAATATTTGTGTAAGGATGTAATTGTATAAACTTTAATACCAGGCTTTAATTAACATAATCCAAGCATTGAATTCGTTTAAAATCCGCCTTGAATATGTTATGTCGTCGTATCCTGGCGGACGGAAACGGATTACATGGAATTCTAAATGTTAATAAGCCTTGAAAACGAATATTATTCATCTTCTATTTTTTGTTTTCTTCTCCATTCTCGGGTTACATTCGACCTTGTCTTTGTAAATAAAGTTTTTGCGTCAACAAGTTTGTTATTTCAATGGTTTTTGAATTTTAGACAGAGGTTCGGTTCCGGAAGGAAAGTTGTTGCGGTTTTTAAGTTGAAAGTAGGGGTAATAGAGGTATGGGTAAGGTAAATCAGAACAGGGTAGGGTAAGACAGGATAAGGTAAAGTGGAGTTGGGTATGATGCGTAGGGTGGGGCAGGATAAGGTAGGGTAAAATAGGGTAAAGTAGGGTAGGGTAGGATTAAGAAATAGAGTAGAGTAAGGAAGAATATAGTATTTTTATTATGCTTTTTAATTGTAAAGAGTTTTTGCACTATGAAAAATCACCACTTTTCGTATTTTGCCTAATTTTTTTCACAAAAAAAATATTTTTGAATTTTTGAAAAAACTTTCTTTCCACTTTACTTTTCCAAAACACTCTCATTTTGCAGTAAATAAAATCACCGTAAAGCATCTGCATAAATTAACATTAATTCGCTCGTTTTTGGCATTAATAAGTTACATTTTTATTTTGTCAAAGCAATGTAACTGCTTCATATTCAAAGGTTCATGTATAATATAGCGAGAAATGACTTTTTGCACTCATTTTTAATGCCCTTAGGTCATATCCAGTGTTCTTCCAGGATTAACACTGATGAAAATGCTCATGAATTACTTTCTACAGCTTTTGTACTTGGCTGGCGCTTAGCTTTTTTTGCAAAATTTAAAAAAAATTTTATTGGAACTGAGAAACTTTCTAGTGTAAAGAAAGTTTTATAAGATTTTGGGAGTCAAAAATCGTTTTCAAGTTTGAAAATGAGGTTTATATTGTCGAAAATAAAGGTTTTTAGGTAGCTTAGTTTACTTTTTATCAGATTTTAAAAGTTTAAATACAATTTTAGTTGATTATGTAGGTTAAAAATAGTTTAATGGCATTTTTGCACGTGTAGCTACAAAAAATGAGTTGAAATGTCATTTTGTGTCATTCTTTTTTAGCAAAAATAATTTTTAAACATTTTTATTGAAAAGTTGAAGATTTTGTCTACTATAACATATGGTTTTACCTCGTTAACACGTAAGAAACATTAATTTTTTTTAAAAATTTTTTTAGTTTTTACTCATTTTTTTGTCTCATAAGCCAAACTTTTTGACATTTAACACCACACCCTACGTAACCACAGTTTTTCTTACCTCTTCTTAATGTTCGTACTCTTGTCTTATTACTTTTTCCAACTTTTTCGACAATTTGAAACTCTCTCCTTGGCTTATCAATCACGACACTCTTTCAACGCCAACGCAGGCCAAAAAGTCGAAATATTTTTATTTTTGCGGCTCTTTTAACTGTCAATCAGCGTGAGGCCGAACGTGCGGTTTCGAGTAGCCGAAAAGACGGTTCCGGAACGTCGTTGATCTATGCTCATTATTTCAAGTTTGGGCGTTTAGGAGGAAGTGTTGGAGGTGAAGAGTGATGGGGTTTTATTATTTTTTGAGGGGTGGGAGAGTGGAGCGAGTTTCTTTTTCGGGCGAGGGGGGGGGGAGAGATAGTAGGGCGAGGGTAATTTTTAGATTTTAGGGCAGGATCACGCAATATGAGGCAGGGCAGCGGTAGATACAGCGGTAGTATAAGGTCAGGCAGAGTAGGGTAGGGTAGGGCACTGTATTATAGAGTAGTTTTGAATGCGTAGTATCTTTATAACTGTTACATTTTCATGTTTACTTCAATACCCATTCCGCCTTGCCCTTGTAAACATTAAGATTTACTTCCTAGACATAATTAACCATCTCCTAATGATGCCATACATATTCATCCTTACTCTGGCCTAATTTATTCATTGTCGCTGTCCGATTATCGTGCCAATTTGTGGCCAATATATGTGCTATGATTTATATCAGAGACTTGTTTTTGTTTTCTTATAAAGGTCTTTAATCTTTTTTAAGTGGTCTTGGTTTAGTTTTCAAATGGCAGGTCAGGGGAGGACAAAAAGAGTGGCTTTTGGGTTTGTGTAAGGCTGGGAGGGTGGTGTTTGGTTGAGAGAAGGGGTGTTTTTTTTTGGTGTTTTTTGCTTTATCAAGGGGTGTTTTTGTTTTTTTTTAAAGATTTTGATACTCTTCACCTTTTTACTGTTATCGTATTTTACATTTTTTTACAAAAATTCGTGCCATTTTAAATTTAAGTAAAATTTTAAAAATAAAATTTAATTTTTTTAAAAATTTTAGAAATTCAACAATAAAATTTGAATTTGGCGCCAAAAATGACGCCACCGTCAAAGGACGTGGAGAAAGGCGAAGGCTTCAACAAACCGGTCACGGTGAAGTCGCCTCATATTATCATAAGGATACTGAATCAACTGAGTGCATTGATGGGGAGAAAGAATGAACATTTCGAAATCAACGTAACACAAGCTTCTGGAGAAGTGCTGGATGCTTATGGGGTAGGTTTTTCGGATTTTGAGTTGAATTTTTAGCTTTGTTGAGGGGTGAGGCTGTCCTTCATTTAACGTCAAAAAATTGATAAGGTAGGGACGCTTACAGTAGGGTAAGATAGGGAAGAGCAGGGCAAGACCGAAAATGACAGGACTGGGCAGAGAGCCGGGTCTAACAGAACAGGGAAAGACAAAACTAGGCAAGGCAGGGTACTGTAGGGAAGAGTAGACAATAAAAATTCACCCTGCTCAACATGTTTTGACCATATAAACCACGTTTAACTCAAAGTCACCAAAATTATGTTTTATTTTCAGAATCCTCGCTACCCAGCCGTCTACCAACAATCAGCTACCCGAAAACTAGCTTTTGGTGGACTACCTACAACTTCTTTTGCCACAATTCAAGACGAAAAGAAGGCGAAAAACCTTGGTGAATTCTACAACAACTCAACGTTAACATTGATAGCCAAGATCTTTTCAGTTTGTGTCATTTTATGCGCATTAGCCATGCTTATTCGAGAAGCTTTTTACAATTCATAATACTACGGAACTATGTTTGCGTTTACAATTTGTAGTACTATAGTACTAGTGTTATGTGTTTACAATTCATAGTACTATAGAGCTATGTTTTTGTGTTTACGATACGTAGTACTATAGTGTTATGTTTGTTTTTACAATTCATATTACTATAGAACGATTGTGTGTAAGGCCTTTAATGTATATTTAATTTTAGGTAGCTTTATGACTTCTATCTAGTAAGTTTTGAACTTTAGGTAGCCTTACTTTTGATATTTAAAAAAAATTTTAATACTTTTAAGTACAGTGAAATTTAGTTGTAAAAAATGTTGGTCTGGCAGGGTAAAAGCTAAAAAAAGTTTAGTTTTTCGGCGGGGAATGGAAAAATATATATTTTTTTTTATTTTCAGGTAATGATTTAAAATTTAAAATAAGTAAAACACGACAAAGCTAAACCAAAAATTTTTATATTGTCATTTTAGACCACCTACTGTAATAAGACGTTTTTCATTATGTAGTTCAAATAATTTTGTGCTTCCTACAACGCAAAATTTTGGAATTAGGGGGCACATAATTATTTAAGCAACCTAATTTAACAAAAGGGACTTATAACAAGATTTCACTGTTCTTTTAAAACTTCTTACCTTATCTATTTCTCACAATTACTATGTTAATATCTTATATCACCTTATTTTCACCTATCCTTACGGGTCAACCAATATCTCTTACTTTAAGAGTTTTACGTGCTTTTTCTGTTTTTATACTATAGATCAGGTAATTTATTGTTAAACGTTTGCCATTTTATGTTTACAACTTGTACAAAGAAGGAATTAATAAACTGTATCAAACATAAATGACGTTCCTGTACTGTAATAAGTGGGAGGGCGGGTAATTCTTACTTCTTTTGAGAAGGCGAAAAGGTTAGCAGGCTAGGGTAAAGTAGAGTAAAGTAGGCTAAGGTAGAGTACAGTAAGGTAGATTAGGGTAGGGAAAAGTAGGGTAAAGTAAGTTAGGGTAGGGTAGAGAAAAAATAATGTTACTACTTCTTTTAATACAAAAAAGTAAAAACCAAGAATAGAATTAGTAAAAACAAAAAACTGTTGAATATGAAAATGAATACTAAGTAACCTTTACACCTGTTACGTGGCGTAGATATTCGATAAAAAGTACAAATATTCAGAATTTTAAAAATAGTTTATTTCTTAAATTGAAATTATATTAAGGTTTGAAATTTTAAGGTTACTATGTACTTATAAACTATGGTTGCATGTACCAAAGTGCTGTGTAGACTAGTAGTAATTGTAAAAAATTTTTAAAAGTATTTTAACTGGCTATAACACAGATTTCTAACGGATCATCGGGCTGGGAAATTGACTTATAAGCTATATTTCGAACTTTACAATAATCTACAGTATTTACTTTGCTAAAATTTAAACCTTTACTGCCTTTATTATTTGTTCTGGTACATATTTTATCAAAATGTCTAGCGATATGGCTACTAGTGTTAGTAATTTGCTGGAAGGAAGCATGTTTGTCTTTACAGTTTTGGGCTGCTGGGGCAATTCTAATATTATTGTAGCTACCATAAGGTTTAAGGAGCTTCAGACTAAGTGTGGTAAGGTTTCTCAAATTAAAAAAAAGTTAAATTTTTAAATAACATTTTTTTGGAAAAATTTTAAGCTTAAAACATTTTAGATTCTATGTAACAACAAAAAAAATTTAGAAGTTATTACGTCATTAACTGCATCATTTTTAGGATTTTTACTCGCCATTTTGGCATTTTGTGATGGCACTAGTCTACTATTCGAATGTTGGTCTGGCATCCGGTTATTAACAAATACTGCAGCAATGGATCAAAAGAAATGTTTTATTTTACAAGTTGGATACATTTTTGTAGAAAATATGGGCGTTTTTATGAATTTAGCCGTGTCAGTTGATCGACAATTGGCTATTCAAAGGCCGATGAAGTAAGGGCTTGGCAGAGCTAGACTGGAAAGAGTACGGCAGGGTAAGGGCAGAGTGAGCGCTCGGTGGGAGTAGGGCGAGCGCAGGGTAAATGGCAGAGTGAAGGCAAAGAGAAGGCAAGGTGAGGCAAGGTAAGGTAAGGCAAGGCAAGGCAAGGCAAAAAGTACTGGTTTTTCTACTAATGCCCATGAACATATTATATATTAAAATATCTCTTTAGTTACCGTAACTGGAACACAAAACAGTACGTTCTTTCTATGGCCACAGTACTCTTTATATACGGTTTCTTTTATCCTATATGGTCATTGATTGTGGGGGTGGATGAAAATATATTTATTGATATGTGTAATCTACCAACATCAATGCCTGATATTGTAAGCGTTTACTGGAACTACATATCAACTGGTGCATGTGCGCTTACTGTGTCATGTTATGGAGTTACTTACTACATGCTTTATAGAATTTGTAAGTATTACAAAGGGTTTACGTAAATTTAACGATCTAAATAAAATGTTAAAGGCCCTTTTTGAGTAAAATACGCCATAAGTAGATATTTCTTTATGATTATATTACAGTATATTTATGTTTAGCCCCATCAAAACTAAAAGCGACACCAGCTCAAATAGCTCAACAGAAGAAGATAGTAAATACTTTGAGTATAAACGTTATCGGTTTCTTTGTATCATCAGTGGCTACAGCTGTTCTTATCTTATGTTTTCGTACATGGGAGGCTGATCAATCTATTATTGATACTGTTGAAATATATGCTGCTTTTCCTGGTATGTTTAAGGGTAGTGGCAAATAAGTTAGGTTAAGAAAGAGCAAGACGGGACCCGATGGGTTAAGTTAGGAAAAGGTAGAATTGAGTCAGATAGTTATTAGGTAGAAATGTTTGATAAAAGTTGGGATATAGGTGTAAAGGGTACCTATAGTTAGAGGCACAGGAGTGGCAAAGGTAAAGAATGAGCAGGTTAGGCAGATTAGGCAAAGATAAGCTAAAGCTATGACAAGGCAAGATTAGATAAAACTTTAGACGTAGGCGTAGCAAAAGTATGGCAAGAACAGGGAGGAGTTATGAAGTATGAATAGGACTGGAGTTAGACTATATTACAAAGAAAGGCAACGTAAAGGTTGGAGGCATTGGTGTGAAGGTTAGCTGTAGGCCGGGGCCTAAGTGTGACAAAGGTACAAAAGGGGCAAAGTAAGAAAATGACAAACTTAAAGAACAGGTAGAACAAATGTAGAGAAAAATGAGTAAGAACATAGTAATATGCATCCCTCTATAATATTGCTTTTTAGGCTTGATAAGCTTCACAATAAACTACTATATTTACTTCTGGCGTTCTGCTGATTATCGACGATGTTTTTCGAGACACTTGAAAATGGAAGCCTTCTGTATGGGTGACACTAACATAAAAATTGTTGTACAGGTACGTTATTACTTTAGCAAAGCCTTAAATTGTTAAAAAATATATATAATACATTTCTGAAATTTCAGAGTACGACAACTGGTGCTACTCGATGAGTACTACAATAAATTTTTATTTTTAACACTGATATATTACGGGTTAATATTCTGTATTTATTAACATTTTTAAACAAAAATACGTAAATATAAAGAAATAGGTAATATAATTTCAAAAATAGAATTTTAAGTCAAATAATATTTAAAAATCAATGTAAATATAGCTATTTTAAGCAGTAAATAGTAAGGCCAAAAAATATTTTTAAAATCATCCAGTCTTGTAAAAGTCACCACCTCCTACAATCCATTATATCCTTCATCCACGCTTTTTCCATTCCCATTTGTACTACTTTGGCCACTCTTACTGGGACTTTCTGGTACACTGTCACCGTTACTGGCTTCGCTTTCTGTCAATTCATCAGCATTAACTCGGCCATGAACAAGACTAATTGGTGGAGGTGGGATCCTTGACATTTCTTCTACCGATACGTGGCAACGGTAGGAGTAGCTGAAGAATTATTATGGTAAAATACGGATTGGATAGTGGGATGAGCAAATATAAGCTTGTGAAGAGTAAGAGAGGTTAAGAAAGGTAGGTAGGTTAGGTTAAGTCTAAGGCAACGCCTGGATAAAGCCTAAGGCTAGGACTTTCGGCTCTGGATTAGTGCTCTAGGCTGGTGTCTTGGGTAGGGATCTAGGCTAGGGCTCTAGGCTAAAGTTCTGGGCTAGGGCTCTGGGCCAGGGCTCTAGGCTAGAGCTCTGGGCTAAAACTTTGTGCTAGAACTCTAGAGTAGGGATTTGGGCTAGGGCTATGTGCTATGGGCTAGGTCTTTGAACGAGAGCTATGGGTCAGAGCTCTAAACTGGCAATGTCGCTTACCCCAACTTGAATATCTCGTCGACAAAGTAGTTGAACTCCTGGCATTCCATCATTTCTGGAGTCCATTCAAAAGCATTTTTAAAGTATTTCAAAGCGTTTAAAAACTGTTTTCGTTGTTTCTCATTCAACTGTAAATGACTTGGCGGTTTTGGCTTTTCTTCTTTTGCTTTTTCGACCAATCTAACTGGAGTTAACGACCGACTAACCGACTGTAAACGTGGTCGTTCTCTCTTGGTTACCATCCAGTTATCGTTCTTTATCGAAGGACACGCGTACTTGCGGTGATTTCTGAAATATTTGTTAATTAGTAGTAATAAATTTTTAAAAACATGATTTTTTAAACTGTATAATACTATATAGTACTAATAAATAAACCTACGTAAAATGGGTACCACCACTACTAGAATGACTCAGCAATCGATCGCAGCGCTGACAAATGATAAAGTCTTGTTTGATGGCGTTCTCTTTCTGACCGGTCGGGCTGTAATGCACGCTTCTAAACCAATTCTGATTGTCACCGTGCCCAAAATGGTCAAAGAACAAGCAATCAGTCTTGGGATCACACAGTAACTTCTCCAACATTTCCTTTGTTAAAAGGTTCTCTTTTTTTGGTACCATTGGTACCACACTACTCTTTCGCCGATCATAGCCATTCGATGTTGGAGTATCGACCGACATTCCTGAATAATTTACTGTGTATAGGTATCGGGAGAGCATCGTTTAGATTGATTTAGATGAGAATAACAGTATTTTAATATTACCGATTTAATATAAAGTTATATGCTATTACCAATATCTCAAATATTAGGCTGTAGTACTTATATATAAAATATTATGTTATACTCCGATTATAGCGAACCCCAAGTAGATGAAATACAAAGTTTTAGTGAGTATATAACAGGTTCGAGTATAGACCTAGTATTTAGAATGCCAAATCGTGTACATGAACATAAACCCGGATATAAGTCTAAGTAGTATAATGCGACTTTTATGTCATCAAGATATAATTCAGTTAAGAACAAATTCAATTATGAGCAAATGAAAAGAAAAAGGAATAAAAAAACGTTCTTTTAGGTTTTTTAAAATGAAATTTTTGTATTTTGAGGTCATTGATAATATTATTAAAGATAAAAATATGTAAAGTCATAAATATTTTCAAAAACTGCATTACAAGATCACAGTATTTGCAAACAAAAAGTATTTTTGGATTCCGGGCCGGGCCAATCTTTTTGTTCGGCATAGGTCTGTAAAGAAACCAAGTCCAATTTTTCGTTGCGAGACCTAAGCTGAGACTTCTGGGTAGACATGAAGAATGGTCCAAGCCGGGTCTGAGAAAAATTTTGATCGGGCCGGGCTTAAAAATGGGGGCTCACCCGTTTCTCATGAGTACTTCTGGGGCTTTGATTTGGGTCCTAGTCTTCATGCGCGCACGATCCGGCTGGCCCCTTTCAAATTTGTTTCGCTTCAACCCGGTCGGGTCCAGTACGCTCCTTTTCAAGTCGAGGCTTGTCTGTGAGTCGAGATCTTAATACCTAGCTTAGCCACTAAGCTAACCTTGTATATTTTTCAATCTCCTAGGTTGAACAGCAAGATTAGGTAAGCTATAAAAGGTCAAAAGCCGAATCTATTTATTATAAAAGACAGGCTAATGTAGAAAAAGTTGGTTTTATTGTTATGCTTAATCTCAATTGTCATTTTTTGTAAAAAAATGTTATTTTGCAATTCGTATTTTACATATTTTACAATTTCTAGAACGCCACTGAATCGTGTAAGTTATATTAGGAGCAACTCAATTACCAAAGTGATATAATAATTGCAGTGACATAAGAAAGAATAAATATAAGTTGCAAATTGTCAATAATGATAAAATTTTTTCATGAATTTTTTTTTAAATTTAAAAATCAAAAAGATCGTAATAAAGCCTTAAAAATTTAGAAAAGTTTAATGTCTCGCTTGAACTTTGCAAGATATAAAATTAATTGAGAAACTGCGAAAAAACTAGAATGTTGTTGTACACGCGACCATAAATTTGCTCGGTTTATATAAACATGTTGTTCAAGGCTTAATAAAACAACAATAAAAACTCGCAAAGAGGTCAATTGGGAATACACCTTTAATTTGAAATATTGACTTTGGTTACTGTAACTCGACTATCTGTAGTAACATTAAATGTTGTACTTAGTTTTCTACGGTAAAATTTAAGGTGATTACGTTATCAATTACTGCATTTTCAATGTTTGAGAAACTTTACTGTGGTGTATATTATAGTAGACGTAGATGCTACAAAAGTTTACCATAATATAAAATTTGATCACTAAAAGCTACAGTAACTTGTATATAAGCTTCAAAAGTTTTTTTAAAAAATTACCTTAACATATATTATGTTTCAAAAAAGTTACTGTAACTTGTACTGTAGTAGGCTTAAGTCCTATAAAAGCCTATCATAACATAACAATTAATCCTAAAAACTACAGTAACCTATATTTAAGCCTACATTAAATTCCATTTCAAAAATTACCGTAACGCTCAAAGTAAAGGCCAGACAAAGTCAAATACCAGATATATGATGTTGGTATGTTCACGCAAGAGTTTGTTTTGGTCGCATAAATAACAGTATTAGCATTGAACGTGCACGTCGTCCTTTGCTTTGGAAACGATGCAAAATAAACCGTTTTCCGGTGGCATGCTCTGTCTTCCGATGCCCCGAGGGTAATTGTACCAGTTTTGATGAATAACATACACTTGACATAGCTCAAACCCATTTTATGACAATCTTTAGGCATTGTAATTTGAGTTTAAAAAAATTTAGAAGTACAAGGTTACTGTAGCGCAAAAATTTTTTTTCAATTTGTTATTTACTACAGTATGACATAACGTTTAATATACCATAGTATTGTACTCCAGTAAATGTTATACTCATAGTACTGCACTACGGTAACTACCGACCGAATAGTGTTGTAGTACAGTAAGTATCATTACCGTATTAACGTATTACTGTACTACAATAGCTACTAGCCAAAAATGGTAGTGTAATGTAAATTAAGACAGGGCAAGATAGGGTTGGGTAAAGAAGTGTAGAGTAGGGTTGGGTAGACTTAATTCATAAAATTACCGCAGTAACAAAATAAAATACCGACGCTACTGCAGCACAATACTACAATAACCACCATTGCCGTAGTATTACTTCACTAACTACTCTTACTACACTAATGCAATACATTCACTACTAGCTCTGTAGTACTATAGTAGAGTAACCATCGTATTACTATAGTACAATAATTATCTTACTATTGTACTAAAGTATTACTACTAACATACTAATTTACCATAGTACCATCTTCAATAGTATATTACAATACCAACATGACTACAGTATTTTACTACGGTAAGCATGTATGTACACTACCGTAATAAAACGTATAAAAAGTAAATTACTCGTTTATTCACAAAATAACAAGATCTACATAACTCAGTATCAACTACAACATAACACGCCAAATTACTACGCCACCGCACTACTGTAACCAACAGCACCGCAACACCCTTCCACAGTACCACCTTCACCATGTCACCGCGTTTCCAACCGTTTTGAACCTGTCCTTCCATGTAGCCGGCTTCTTTGTCGTCGTATCTTCTGGATACATACTCTCCTTCAAGATCAGTCGTCGACTTGGATACACAGCAAACGTGAATAACAAAGCGTATATCAACATTATGACGTACAGTATCTCAAACAAGTTAGTCATCGTTAGAACGTCGGTCGTCTCTTCAAGCATCTGCCGTTCTTGTAGTAGCTCTTGAAGAACTCTGACTTCACTGATCTCTCGTAGTGGGGCTACCAAGTCGGTTGCCTGAAAGAGAATTAAAGTTAAAATTTAAGGTAGGGTAGGGTAGGGTAGAATAGGTTAGGGTAGGGTAGGGTAGGATAGGATAGGGTAGGATAGGGTAGGGTAGGGTAGGGTAGGGTAGGGTAGGGTAGGGTAGGGTAGGGTAGGGTAGGATAGGGTAGGATAGGGTAGGGTAGGGTAGGGTAGGGTAGGGTAAGGTAGAGTAGGGTAGAGTAGGGTAGGGTAGGGTAGGGTAGGGTAGGGTAGGGTAGGGTAGGGTAGGCGGGGTAGGGTACTTACAATTTCCTCGGAGCTTTGTTGAGCGATGTTGATGGTCAAGTTGACGATGGATCTCAAGGTTTCATTAAAGTTGATCATTTGAGGTTTGTAATCCGTCAGTTCCTCGTCGATTTCTTCACTCACTGTGTCTGTTACTGCACATAATTCTTGTTTATATGGTCCCCATCTGACTTTGCCAAACTTTGTGTACAGTAATATCTCTGGAGCAAAGGAGGGGTGATCTGATGTGTTGAAGAACTAAAAGAAGGACATTATTAGGTTGTTCACATAATTCTGCGCCACCTTATCCTTAGATCCTTTGATTTTTTTGAGAGGAGGCGCAGAATTAAGTGAACAACATAATAACTAAAGTTTTACTGCAATTTTTATGACATTAATTATCTTACTGTAGTTTTATAGTTTACTATACGTTACAAAGTGACATACTTGAAGCAGATTTACACTTTCTCGATGTACTTTATATGGACATGGATTCACTTCTTCGGTACCTTCATATAGCATGAACACTATGTCAGTCGATGGTAAATTTAAGTTTAACTGAAAAAATTAAAAATTTTATAAAATATTTTTTTACCCTACCCTCCCCTACCCTCCCCTACCCTACCCTACCCTACCCTACCCTACCCTACCCTACCCTACTCTACCCTACCCTACCCTACCCTACCCTACCCTACCCTACCCTACCCCTTTATACTACTTTACCATGCCTTACCTCATCGACAAAGTCGCACAAGTCCTCCAACTGTACAATTGTTGTTGTAGGGTGCCTCGGCTCAAACTCGGGTTGTTTTAGAAACGTGAACACGTTTTGATATAACTGCGAATAATTAGTTGTTGCTACAATATGAATGTGGATGTAAGCAAGATTGGGCCGCAGATGTAGGTGAAGTATGATTAAAACAGCTGAGAACAACCGCATAGTAAAAAGGTAGAAAAGTGAATAAAAGTTTAAAATTTTTTGATTTTTTGTGCAAATATTGGTGATAGTGAGGGTAAAACGTAATTTATCTTTTTTTTTTAAAGAAAAAGTTAAAATTTGCATTGTTTTGGCCAAAAAATTTGAATTTTTATTTGGCGGGTTTTTTGGCATTCTGTTGCAATTTGATTTTTTGGGTTTAAGAGACTAATATAAAATCAAGTACGTTGAAAAACTAGATTGTAAAAGTAGAAGAAGTCAAAAAGTTTGTAGAACAAACAAAATTTCATCGAAAAAATTTTTTTAGGTAATAAAATTTAACAACATTTTTTTAAATTGCAATATTTTTAAAGATTTTAATGCTACCTTGCCATTTTTGATGCATGATAATCAAAAACTTATCAAAACGTTTGTTATCAAAGTGTTTACTCAAGTGTAACCAGTCTTTTGATAAGATTACAGCTTTTGCAAGTTCAGAAGTCACTGTAAAATGGGTTCTTTTTTACCTTTCCTTAATTGAAACTGCCATATTTTATTTACTTTGCTGTTTCAGTATTTCAAATTAGTGGTTATACATAAAGAAGGTCAAGATGTATGTTGTTAAGGAAACAGATGTAAGTTTTTTAGCTAGATGTTGAACATAATTAGGTAGTTTGGCTTTAAAATTTATTTTTTTTGCTTGTTTTATTGAAAAATGACTATAAAATGACCTACCCGGTCTTAAAAAGTGTCAATTTAATTATTTGCTACTTACGATTCAATTACAGATGAAAGACTTTGTCATAAAATCAATGACAAAAGTAGGTACAGCTAAAGACCATGCCGAACAGCTAGCTGACTGTCTTATCCATGCTGACAAACGAGGACATTACTCTCATGGACTTAATCGACTTCATGTATGTTTCTTAGTATTATTTAGCTCTAGGTACTATTGTAGTATGTATAATATTAATACATACTAGGTAATATTACATAGTAAATTAATTTTAAAATTTCTAAATTTTTTAAATTTTAAGGTTTTAGAAATTTGTAAAATACGGGTTTTGTAAAAAGCTTATACAAGTACAAATAATGAAATTTTTAAAAAGTCTTGCCGTTTTTGACTATACAAATGAATGTAAATTGACGACAAGACTTTTTTTGACTTTTCAGTGCTTACAAAGACAGTGCTGAACCTGCTCCACTCAAAATCAGCTCAAAATTTTAAATTCTTTTTGCTACTAACAGTACCCATAAAAAATTTTAGCTTGTGCTTTTAGTTTTAACTTCGAAATATTTAAAGTTTCTGCTAATTTGGCAAACTTGGCATTGTGTTTCAAACATTTTTTTCTTGACTTTTTAAACCAGCTACAATTACAAATTAAAAAATGAGTTATCGAATTTGTAAAATACAATTTACTTAATGGCTTCAGTAAGCACAGACAGTAAAATTATTAAAAAAAAGTTTTGTCGTTTTTGCATGTAAAAATACATGTAAACTGACGACAAGACTTTTTTATTGGCTTTTCAATACATAAAATTCTATTTCTTAATAAAAACGTTATCATTAAAGCTTTCAAAACAAAAAAGATAAGATTGACTTTAGATCTACATAGAAGACACCCTGGGTAACGTTGCCAAGTCGGGTACTCCAGTGATATTGAAGCAAAAAAGTGCTACAGCCTGGGTGGATGGTAAGAACGTATTGGGACCTGTGGTTGGAAACTTTTGCATGAAGCTAGCTATAGATTTGGCTAAAGAACATGGAATTGGTTGGATTGTAACAAAGGGTAGTAATCACTATGGCATCTGTGGCCATTATGCTATTCAGGCGGCTGAACAGGGACTTATTGTAAGTTTGGTATATCTTGAAAAGGTTAATGGCTAGGCTAAGGCTCAGGCTTATGCTTAGGCTCAGGCTCAAGCTCAGGCTCAGGCTCAGGCTCAGGCTCAGGCTCAGGCTCAGGCTCAGGCTCAGGCTCAAGCTCAGGCTCAAGCTCAGGCTCAGACTCAGGTTTAGGCTCAAGTTCAGGTTCAAGCTCAGGCTCAGGCTCAGGTTCAGGCTCAGACTTACGCTTAAGCTTAATTTTAGTCTGAGGCTTAGGCTCAATCTCAGCTTTAGGCTCAGGCTCAAGCTCAGGCAAGCTAAGGTTAAAACTATATAAGACTGAGACTAAGAATAAAGATAGTTTTATAATGTATTTGTCACTTTAAGGGTATGAGTTTTACCAACACGTCCCCATGTGTATATCCAAATCGGTCCAGAGAGCAAGCCTTGGGTTCAAACCCAATTTGTTGTGTAGCTCCAGCCAAAAATGAAGACAACTTTGCGTTGGATATGGCTTCAACTACAGTCGCTTTTGGTAAAGTAAGGTTTTTTCTTTGTTTTTGCATTGGTAATACATAACATCGATTTAAAAAGTTTTGTCGTTCTTTTACGTTACGTTTCAGAGTAAAAAACGGCAAACTTTTTTGCTATACAAAAATTTGTTATAAGTAGTATAGCTAACACAGTAACATTTGCACAGTAACCTAATCTAGTGAAAAGAAACTCAAGATAAGCTTACACTCTTTATATTAAGGTAGAGCTAGCTAAAACCAAAGGCCACGCCACGATTCCAGAAGGTTGGGGTGCTGATGTCAATGGAAACCCCACTCAGATTCCAGAAGAAGTACTAAATGGAGGTGGACTGGTATCCTTAGGAGGATACGAAGATAAAGGAGCTTACAAAGGCACTGGGCTTGGTATGATGGTGGAACTGTTCTGTGGAGTTATGGCTGGCAGCACGTTTGGCAAGAACGTCAGACAGTGGAGAGAGTCACAGGCTCCGGCTAATTTAGTAGGTTTAAAAAGTAGTTTTAATTATGATTTTTAAAAAAATTTCAAATTTAAAAAAAAAATTTTTTAAAACTTGAAGTTTTTGAACTTTAGGCCCAATGCTTTGTGGCCATAGACACTGAATGTTTTGCTGATGGCTTTGCTGACCGACTTCAACAATTCATTGATGAAACTAGAGATTTAAAGCCAACAGACTCTGATAAACTAGTATTAGTACCAGGAGATCCTGAACGTACTCATGAACAAAAGTCAAAAGATGCCGGAGGATTACTGTACTCGGAAAGGCAGCTGGAGTCTTTAGTAAGTTTTACATAAAAAGAGATGAATATTGCCTTGCCTTGCCTTGCCTTGCCTTGCCTTGCCTTGCCTTGCCTTGCCTTGCCTTGCCTTGCCTTGCCTTGCCTTGCCTTGCCTTGCCTTGCCTTGCCTTGCCTTGCCTTGCCTTGCCTTGCCTTGCCTTGCCTTGCCTTGCCTTGCCTTGCCTTGCCTTGCCTTGCCTTGCCTTGCCTTGCCTTGCCTTGCCTTGCCTTGCCTTGCCTTGTCTTGTCTTGCTTTGCTTTCCTTGGCCTGCCCGACGTCTCCAGTTCCTTATTTACCCTACTCTACAGTATTTCACCCTGTCCTGTCTTTACCTTACCCTTACCTTGTTTACAATCTGCCCTTATCCTGCCTTTTAACTGCCTCACCTTGCCTTTACCTTGTCCTCACTCCGTCCTCTTCCTGCCCTCACCCTGCCCTTATATTCTACTCTACTTATGAGTTATTCTGCCCTACGAGTTACTCTCATCCTACGTTGAATTTACTTATTATTAATCATACCTATTCTTCTTTTCCGCTGAAGTTTAGTCTAACCTATACCTACATATGTAAAAATAAATGCTTTATTAAAAATACATTTTTTTTTCAGAGACAAGTCAGTAAAAAGTACGACATACCACTGTTTAGCTACACAACACTATAGGTTATTTTATTTTAGCTTTTTATCAAATTTTTTTACAATAAAAGATTTGAGTTAATTTGTAAAATACGGAGAGTTGATGAAGCGGTTTAGTAATTTTTAAATAATGTAAAATACGGTGTTTTTAAACATAACTCTTTTATACTTTAATGTCAATTTGGGAACTGACCTTTGTTCAATAATACAATAAAAGTGGGGCTGTAACTGTTGAATTTTGTTTACTTTAACAAACAAATACTGGTAATCACAAAGCGTCACATCTTTGTGTACATAACTCTTTTTTTCAACGTTTAAGTCCTTTTCACTACGTCATAAACGTTTATTATCAAAAATACAGTTTTTGTTGTTGAGAATTCAAAATTTTTTTGGTTTTGTAAATTGTGGGGGGGGGGGGGGGGGATATAAGTTTAAAAAAAAATTTTTTTAAAACTTAACTTTGAAAATACGAAACGCAAGTTCGTCGTATATTTGTTCGTATTAACTAGCTTCAGTTTTTTCTTACTCTAGTTGTAGTCTAGCCTACCCTAGCCCAACTGTAGCTCTATTCCAGTTTGGTCTAGCCAAATTTTAGCTCTATCATAAATTTTTTGAGCCTAACTTTAGCTCTATTCTAGCCTGCCCTACTCTAACTCTAGTTATAAGTTAGTCTGTGTAGCTCTGCTTTAATTCTATCTAAGCCTACTCTAGCCCAATCTTAGCTCTATCTTATCCAAAGCTAGTCTAATTTTAGCTCTACTCTATTATAACATTAAGCTTACTTTAGCTATACCCTAGCCTAACATTAGCTCTATTTTGGTTTTTTCTAGTTTAATTTTAGCTATGAGTCAGTCTTAGACGAAATCTACTATATAGCTTTATCCTAGCTTACTATAACCTTATTTTATCCTTCCTTTTGTATTACTTTACACCAGTCTGCTCTAGCTCGATTTTAAATTTATTCAAAGTTACACTTATATATAATACTATCTCTTACGAACGCCTTTATTTTTGTTGTTTATTAACCGTCTTTTCTATTTAGTATTGTCGAGAAATGTTCGCAACTTTTCTCTCTTTGAATCCAGTCTTCAGATGTTGCATTCTCAGCTCTTCAAACATAAAAAACGAAGAGGAAGGGTCATTTTATTGCACACAAAAGCGATTTCACCACTTTCTACAATTCTTCATTCGAATCCAAGTGCTTTTACGGTCCGATTTTGTAACTTTTTTATTAGTTTACGACTTTTATTCAAAGTTGAAAGGGTTTTGATGTTCAAATTTTATTTGTTTTGTTTTTATTTTATTTTGGTATAAGCAAATGTAGGTTTTATTATAAGTAGCGATAAGCGTAATTTTAACTTAGAAAGGGAAGGTGAAAAACTTTTTTTCAATAAAAACGGTTTTTTAAACTTTTTATTGAGTTTTAAGAATAAAATCTAGGTTCGACTTGTTAGTCAACTTTTTATAATTGCACTTAGATCTAGTTTTACCCTAAGCTTTAGCCACAGCTTTATTCTGTCCCTCAACCTTAAGGTGACTTTCAATTTGAGCTTAAGCTTTAGTCTTAGCTTTCGCCTAAGTTTTAACTTGAGCCGGAGCTTGAGCTTAAGCCTAAGCCTGAGGTTGAGCCTATGCCTCAGCCCGAACTTCAGCTACAGCCATAGCCAAGCTTTAGTCTTGGGAAAAAGTTATTCTTTTAGCTCTAGTCTCAGTTCTTCTTGTAGATAAAATAGAAGGTTATAACACCCTAAAACTGGCATAGTTATTATACTTTACACAATATTGTATCAAAAAGAAGAAAATTAGCAAAGTCCGGAGAAATTCGCCAAATAAATAAAAACGGAAGCTGTTTCATATGAAAAATCTAATCTTTGATTATTATTTTAGTGATTTGGGTTTTGAAAGACATTTTAAAATACTTATGTTATCAGTGTTTTTCTTTACAAAATTTTAAGGTTTTAAATTTAAAGTATTTGAATTTAATTACCAATTATGTGTACCACGTATTTTACCATGAGCTTAACCTATGTTTATATCAAATTACTTTACAATATTGTACTTGATCAAAGAAACATCGTACATTAAAACCACATGTTTCTTTGATATTATAATAGATAAAACGGCCTAATAATACATGTGTTTTGACATGTCAATGATACATATGTTCATATGTTCGTATGTCACAAGTCGAACGCTTTGAATGTTTTGAATTTTGAGTTTTAATAGCTACGTATGTTGCTATAGATACAGTAATTACGCCGTTCTGTCAATTATAGTTTAAGACATTAGCATGCTCTTCATTATTGTTATGCTACAATTTTACCATGTGATATGTCTGGAAGTGTCAGGTTGGTATCTTGTTGTAAATAAAACTGTAATTTTACTTACAACACTGTAATTTAGTAAAGAGTATGTTAATATTAACAGTAGGATAGAGTAGGGCAGGGTAGGGCAGGGTAGGGTGGGACAGGGTAGGGTAGGGTAAAGTAGGGTAGGGTAGGGTAGGGTAGGTTAGTGTAGGGTAGGGTAGGGTAGGATAGGGTAGGGTAGGGTAGGGTAGGGTAGGGTAGGGTAGGATAATGATAAATCTTTTTTTTTCATACTGTGTCTACTACTATATCATGCTCATACTTGTTACGTTTACACTTTCGTCGCACTTTAATGCCAGATTACACATCAGAGTAATTAAAAATGTATGTATGTCCTTATATGTCGAGATTAGCCACGAGGCACAACATGTTTTCGTACTTTACATTAAAAACACGTAGTAATGCCTTCAAAGAGCGTAATAAGTTAGATTAGCCTTTTGTTACTCATTTTTGGAAGTAGAAAATGATAGGTTAAGGACTGTTTTCGAGTTTTAAGAGTTGTTTAGAAGTGATTTATGAAATAGGAAATGTTTGGCAGTAATTACTACTGGTTACTATAGAAAAAGCAGTGTCTTGAGAGGCTATTTATGTATTTATCATAGTTTTCATATAGTCTATTTTTGTAGATGTAAACTTTTCACCCTTTGTGTCAGTTTTAGTTATAACTTTGGCCTTAGCCTAAGCTTTAATAAAAGCTGAGCTTGAGTTTGAGCTTAAGTTTGTACTAGAACCTATACCTGAGCTTCATTTTGAACTTGAGCTTAAGCCTGATTCTGAGCCTGAGCTTGAGCCTGAGCTTGAGCCTGAGCCTGAGCCTGAGCTTGAGTCTAAGCTTGAGCCTGAACCTGAACCTGAACTTCAGCCTAAGCTTGAGTTTGAGCTGAAGCTTGAGCTTAAGCTTAAGCTTGAGCTGAAGCTTGAGCTTGAGTCTAAGCCTGAATCTCAGCCTGAGCCTGAAACGGAGCTTTAACACTAGAACTAACTTGTGCTAGCCTTTACCTTTTTATATTTTTATGATATCATCTTGATGTACATAGGTTAATATAAATAATACGTGAACCGTGTTTAACAGTCAAAAGAAGTGTATGCCTTTATTACTAATTTACTACTATTTAGTTTAAGATTATTTACCTGGAAGTGACAACACTTTTCAGAAAACCTTACTTTTACTAGACTTGCTGTTTGTTTTTTACAGCTTTTTAAAGTTTATTTGCTGTTTTCTCGGTATAAAGCTTTAGTAAATAATAGTGTAAACACTACACGTTTTAACAATTTCATTTAGAATGATTAGGTTAGGTCTACTTTATTTTGGCACTATAATTACATAGGTTAGTTACGTTGTAAGGGTAATATTGGTTTTTTGAGTAGGACATGGGGGATTACATGTTTTTGCTTACATATGTAGATTTGTTTTAAGATTAACCCAATGATTATTTTTTAGTTTTGTTTAGGAGTTGATTCCAAATAGTCATGTACTCACAAAACTAATCGAAATACATTTTTTTCAAACATTCTATATTAAATGTCACAAAAATGTTGTTTTTACACGTATTTTCCCACTACGGCATGTATTTTTGCTATATTCAAGTTGAGAGGTCCACGTTTGTGGCTGAAGACATCCACGAACGGCCATAACAAGCAAAGTCATTAAAGAGGCAGGAAAAGCAAGTGTAACTAGAGAGTGAAATAAGAAAAGAGAAGGTTTAGAGAAAAAAGAAAAAATGTAGAAGGGTCGATAAGAAATTGGTAAATTGATGTTGAAATTTGGATTTTGAGTTAAATTTTGGGGCTACTCAGTTTAAAGGTCCTAACCCATTACAGGGTCATTCCATGCCCCAGTTGAAGGTCCCAAAATTTTTATAGAGATTTGGATTGATGCTGGTGAAAAAGAATGTTGTATGTAAGAGGAGGGGAGAGGGGTTGGGTGGGCAATGGCTATTTTTTCCATTTTTTCATGTTTTTTTCAGCAACGGTCATCAGAACCTGAGTTTGAGCCTAACTTAAGCTTGCGGCTGAGCTTCAGCCTAAACCTTAGCTTGAATCTGAGCTTGAGCTTGCGCTTGAGAAAGCGTTTGAGCTTGAGTCTAAAGTATGAGCTAGTGCCCGAGTTTGCGAATAAGTTTGAGCTTTGAGCTTAATCCTGCGCTTGAGACTAAGTTTGAGTTTAAGCCTAAACTTTAGCTTAAGCCTGAGCTTGAGTCTGAACTTGACTTTATTTTAAAAAATATGAAACTTTGAGTTTAAATTCTTGCGTTGCTAGCCTAAAGCTTCTGTATACATAAACTTCTTCAGAACGAACAAATTTGACATCTGCAAGCGATTCTTTATACAGGAATTCTATCGTACTACTTTCTACTCTATAAAAACGTAAAATTGTTGCTAAAAACGTTTTTCAATAGTGTTACAACCAATAATATTCTCTAGCGTCCTCTCATACAAAAGAGAACGCCAGAGAAAGAGAGTAAAAACGCAACAGAGTTGTTTTTTGTCAAAAAACATTTGGCCAAAATAATGTTTTGAAGCTGCCGAACACATAAGAGAATGTGTATAACAAGCGTTCTATATAGAAAGATTCATTTCAAAGATAGTGGGTTAGAGAAACAAAGTTTGGAGGTTTTAAAGAAGCGCTTTTTAAAGTTTAAAGCAATAGAAAATGAA